TTTCTGTAGTTTTGAATGAAATGTTCTGTAGGAGCATGCTTTGTCTTTATAATCAGAACAAGACAATTTTAACTACAAACCAGAAGAATCAACATGATTGTGTTTGCTCTGCAGGTAAATGCTGTTGGCAAGTAGGATGGATGTGTCTGGGTAAAATGGAATCTGTTAATACATGTATTACAAATACAAAAATATGTATTTATTAGGAAAAAGGCACCCTACATTATTTTCTGCTCATTTCAGAAAACCTGGAGAAAAAGTTGTAATAGCAGTTTGTGTCTTTGGAAGTTGGATTAGTTTCCTTTTATTATCTAGATTTAAAGGTCTGGCATATTCAAAAAATGACAAATGCCCATATCAAAAATATTTGACAACTTTGCTTCTGTACTGTATATCCAGTATTAACAGAAATTACCTTTGACATGTAGAATCAATAACTTACCTTTTGTTCTGTAATACAAATTTTTATAATCAAGAACTCTACCATTACTTTTTGAACACAGAAAAACTACAAAAAAATGTTAACAGAATGCTTTTGTGGTAGCAGTTCTTAGTTCTTATTATCTTCTTTTAAGTATTTTTTTCAGTCTAAATTTTCTGCAAAATACTATTAACTTATGAATTAAATTGCTTTCCAGTCAATAATTTCAAAGCTACATAAAATTTCCATTATCTGTAAGGAAGGAATTCCAGATTTAATTAGTATTAGTATAGTATGTCAGCTATTTTGATTGCTGAGAGAGCTGTCAACTGCAAAAAAATTATAAAGTAAAAGGATGTGAGGTGGGGTGTGTGAGTCTGGAGGCATGAGATAATAGATGGAGCAGTTTGCTTACCTGATTAAGCAATGTTTAGTTAATTATAAAGAAACAGGGTCAAACGTAGTAGAAAGCAGAAATCTGTTTTCTACAAGGTAAAGAGAAAAGTTTGTGCAGAATAGAAGACAAGTAGGGCAACACCATTTCAGCATGTCAGAATAAGCACCAATAAAGTAAATTCACCAATACTACATAAAAATAAAGGAATTGTAGCAAAATTATACCCGAGGTCAAAATGCAGAAAGATGGACAAATTTTATCTCAAAAATTAACTTAATAGTCCTGCCTTTGTAACACTGAGAAAAAAATATCAACACAAGCAACTGCCACTTAAATCACATTTATTATATAAACAGATCCTGTTAACTTGGTATGAAAAACAAAGCAACTCCAATAGGTATTACAAGGTTAAAGGACATGAACATTTGATCAAAGAGGAAACAAAACTACTCAAAAAAACAAAATATTTAACCTCATTAATAATCAAATAAATGATTGGGATGTTATTTCTTATTCAATGCACAAAGTTAACACCAATTTCTACTTTTTGTATTTTCTTAATGTGCTATTTTTAGTAATAAAAAAATTGAGTCATTAAAAAAACATAGAAAGTATGAAAATTTCTGCCAATGCAGAAATCATAAAAAGCATTAAAATGGATCAACACTTGTATGGGCAGTAAGGTTCAGATTCCTGGAAGCCAATTTCTTTTGTCTTGGTTCCTGAGTTTTATTATGGGATTGATTGTCAATAAAGAGAAAGTTGTTCCTGATTTACACTATGACAATCTCCCAAATATAGGGATATACATATATGTATATATATATATATATTAATTATAATGCATGTATGTTAATTTTTTCTTCAGTTACTTATTCCAGGAAAGTACTTCTTCAGAGTAACTCTTTACAAAGGACTCCTATGATTCCATTTGCTGATCAGGTCCCATTAAGACATTCACATGTGATTCCCAGTCAGTAGGGATGCCCTTGTTATTGAAGAGGCTGAAGATTTACTGTAGTACTGCCTGCAAGAGAGCAGAGTCCTGGACTTCTCTTGGCTGGCTTCCTAGGGAATCTGAAGTTGGTCCTGTTCTTTAGACATAGCCAAAAGGACATTTCTCTGATTTGATGCAGAAGAGAGTTTATTTCCTGCTTGCTCACATCATTGCCTTGAGGCAGATCACAGAAAGCTCAGGATGCATATGGGCTGGAGCAGCATCAGAGCAACCACCCCAATTAAATAATGCTGAATGACTTATGTTGGGACACTGAACTAAAAATCTTACAGCTTTGTTCGGCATAATTCTTTGCTTTTTCTGTTTTAGTCAACAAAAAGGTAGAAAATAGCAGAGCCTAAATTTCTGAGCAAAACAAATCTCTGAAACCTAAACTTTGCTAAATAACCTGTATAAAAGCAACTCAAAAAAGAACATACAAGCAGAAAAAATAATGTAGGTTTCATCTGAAGTAACAATTTAGTCAAACAACAAATTCCTTTGTCAATTTAATGTCTATCTCAATTTGGTGTAACTACATATTTATTCTCTGGTACTGAATTCACATTCAAACATAAATAGCTGCTAGGTGAAGAAAAATAATTTAAACACAATTTCACTATAGCTAAAGTACCAATCAATTTAAAGATTGTATGTGTATGTATGTATATGTGTTTGTACTTTCTCTCTCCCTCTCTCCGGAGATATGAAACCATGACTTAGGGCTATACTGGTTTTTTGAGTTACTATTTTGAATTTATTATTTCTTCTGTCTGCCTAAGAAACTTCACATACTCAAATGCACCCACACGATCTGGTGAGTTGGCAGCTATGTCAAAAACTATGAAAAGAGGGAGGTAGCTAATAATTGGTGGCCTTTTCTTTAATATTTTAGGTTAGTGCTTGAAGCTTCCCTTTGATGTTTTATACTCAAAGATGAAAACTTTCAGCTTTGAACATAATAAACATAATTATACATTTACTACAATCACCTACAATTTGACTTATACACCACCACAAAAAAAGAGACCTAACTTAAACATTTTTCTACATCTTTTACATTTGTTAAAACAACTGGCCCTGGCTGAATACATTTTCAGAACGTACTGGTTAACAATTTGATGAACATATTAAGTCAAACAGCACAAACATCAGTTACCTTTTTATTTGGTAACTGTACCAATCATAAGGTAACAATTGAAGGGAAAGTATGAGATTATCCAGGATGCACTGCAAAGGTATTACCATCGTTGTCTTAAGAATGATCTGAAGGTGCTGAAAGAGGCGATTCTCTAGAAGGCGATCCAGGGTTTTCTTCAGGTGGAAAAACTGTCAGAGTGCAAGCTCGAATGCCACCAAGTGACTCTGGAAGGTCAAAAACTTTATGCCACTCATCCTTTTCTGGGTCGTATTTCTGGACAATTTCCACCATACAACGATTATTCCATGAATATCCACCTACAACGTAGATTTTATTTTCAAAGACAGCAACTCCAACATCACTTTGACCTCTCAACATTGCAGCAATTGGTGTCCACTGGTCAAGGGTTGGTGAGTAGTATTCACAGCTTAGAACATCATCATAATCACTTGTTCCTCTGAAGTGATTGCCACCAATGACATAGAGTTTATCTCCAACTGTACACATGCAATGCAGACCTCTGACTGTAGTCATTGGAGCCTTCTGTGTCCATTTGTCTGTATCTGGGTCAAAACACATGAGCTCATTTTGGAAAGTGTCATGAGTAATTCCTCCTGAAATATACATTAAGCCTCCATACACTGTTCCAGCATGGCCATAGTGGGGTTCACTCATTTTTGCAACATAGCTCCACTCATTCATTCTTGGGTTGTAACATTCTACTGTGGCCAGTTCACCAGCTGCACTTCGCCCACCAACAGCATACAAATGTCCTTTGAGGGCACTCAAGTGGAAGAATGTGCGCTTTTCATTTAATGATGCAACCTGCATCCATTTATTGTATCGTGGATCAAATCTGAAAACTGTATCAACGGCAGTTTTTCCTTTTGTATCATAATTACTTTGACCACCAACTACGTAAAGAAAGTTCCCAATGACAGCAATGCCATGCTGGTAACGGGGAGCATCCATGGGGGCTAAAGATCTCCACTCTTGCGCCCTTTCATCGTACATTCTTAATTCTTTACTGACAACCAGCTGCTGCCTCAAAACCCCTCCTAATGTAACCAAGTGTGTAGAATCTGATCGAATGGCAGTTCGATCTGACTGCATCACTGGCTGCATATATGGCATCATTTGGTAATTGCTAGCTTCCAAAAGCAAATTCACACAGGTATTGTCTGTTCTCATGAAATCTACGGTCTGCACATAATTGATGAGGTCCTGTGGTGTCATCAGTGGAAATCGAATATTCTTCATTAATTTTGCAGCATAATCCATCCGAGGGTCTTCCAACCTTAACCAGCGACAGGCAGCCTTGAAGAGCTCAAGTTCAGTACAGTGCTTAAGACTATTACTTGAAAGCACGAAGGCAAGACGTTCAAAAGGGAGTTTCAGAAACTCCCCAGTACTCAATAATGCAGGAAAATTCTTCAGGATAAAATTATTGACATATTTATCCACTTCTATAAGATTGTAGGTGTTAGCAATTCGTCCAACTTCAACACAGTTATCTAAAGAGACTCCTGAAATAAGAAATACTTTACAGAAGTCCAAAACAGGTAAGATTTGTAAAAAGCTGGCAGCTTCAAGTGTGTCCTGAAGATTGTCCATATTCAGAGAAAGTTTTGCAGTATAAATAAAATCAATTATTTTCTTCAGACCAACCTTGTTCACCCCATGAAGCTTAATGCACATTAAATCTTGCTCTTTCATTCCACCTGTGAACATAGCCTTGAAATAATCACTAGCAGACGCCATCATTGCTCTGTGAACAGGGAAGATTTCATCTCCATCTCCCGGCACCAGCGTCACGTCACAAAGCAATCCTTCTATTCTGAGCTGATCAAAGCCTTGCAGTACCACAGAACTGTGAGTATTGCTGGTAAAGAAACGTGTGGTTCCTGCCTTGCAAGGCTGTAAATGGGCAGAGACGCCCATTTCGCCGTTACCAAGAGACACTTTCATGTGAAAGCCTTCCTCTTGCACAAGGACGTACGCCAGGGAAAGAGATTATAACCTGAAAGCTTTAAGGGAAAAGAGGATGTGCAAAGAGCAGGAGAGCTTGCTTTCTTTATCAAGGGCAAGCAGTCACCGTAGCACCCCGCAAAACACACCAGTCATCCACTGAAAACAGTTCTGTAGCTGGACCACAACGAGCTCTAGGCCTCAAATCTGATTATTATGCGGATGAGTCATCACCTGAAGGCAGTTAAGTGACCCGGTTCACCTGGTCAGGCCTGCGTTGCCGCTCCTCCAGCAGTTCCCTCCGGGCCAAGGGGAGGCGCCGCCACGTACTGCGGCTCGCTCGGCGGCGAGGCCGGCCTCCTCAGTGAGCGGCCGGCTGCACCTTCCGCTGTCCCTGGAGAGTCGCCGCGGCTACGGACCTGTCTTGGGGCGAGGGCCTGGAGGACGGGCCTGGGCCTGGAACACGGGCCTGGGCCTGGAACACGGGCCTGGTCCCGGACGCCGAGCCGGTCCTTCCGGAAAGGTCTAGTCCCAGGATCCCCCGGGCTAGGAGCGGCTGCGCGGCCGCCTGACCGGGTTCGTGGGCGGGCGCGTGGGGGATGGGGAGGAAGTGCACGGGAGACGGGAAGGGCGGGGCCTGGAGAGGGGGCTGAGCTGGGTGGGGGAGAAGAGGGGGCTGGGCTGGGCGGGGCAGGAGAGGGGCGGGACCTGTGAGACTGAAGAGGCCGCGCTGGGTGCACGAACGTTACGGTTTTCACGGCGTCTGAGCTCTCCCACCAAGGGCATATGTTTTAAGATTTATGCTTCCTGGCGTTTTTTGAATAGCAATGAAATGCTGCTTTTGAGAGGAAACGGGGGCCGTAGAAGACGTAGGGGAAAGAAATTTTTCCTCCATACAACACTATAATTTTTATCCTACAAAATTTAATAGACACCTCAGTTATAACTTTCGTTCTTATTTTTCAAAATTTTAATCATATGGAACATATCACTTGTCTCCAATACCCAACTGTGATCATGCTTTGTAAACAATAAAGGCTGACTTTTGTGCCTAAATGCAATTCCATCATCAGTAACTGTTTCATGCTTTTTTCCACTCACATAATTTTTAATGGATACACAACTTTCCAATAACTATACATTCTATAGTTTCTTTGCTCATTATTTGTTCCTGAATATATATCTTGTCCTCCATTGTTTTATAGCCTCTGTAATAAACATAGAATCCAAAAACTTACCCGTTTTTGTATAAATACAAAAAAAATATTTATCCCGTTTTGGATAAATAAATTTGGAAAATATACTGATTCAATATATATAATTTCTTTCCAAAATACGGTTACAGCAATGTTTGTATCTCTTCCCTCTACTGATTATTCACTTTATGGGTATTTTATTGATTTGATTTCTTCAATTAACTAAATTTGAATTTTGGCATATGAATAAATGTATAAACTTTGACACAATTTATCCAACATTTCCCACGGGTTGAAATTATTGTCTCTTAAATCCATCCAGTTTCTTAAGTATATGCAAAGTAATAAGAATATAGCTATATTCTTTTATTACACTCTATTTCTCTATAAAAGATAGTATGCCCGGGGCGGGTGGGACACGTGTACCTAAGCTCCCGAATTCATCTCTGCTTACACGTGCGGAGTAAACCCGCCTTTCCTTGGATGGTACAACAGCATTACTGAAAGCTGCCAACAAAGGATATAATGATATCATAGAGGAGTTGCTGAAATTCTCACCCACCCTTGGTATCTTGAAGAACGGGGACGTCAGCGCTCCCCGCAGCGGTGCTCAATGGGAATATTAAAACAGTCGCGCTGCTTCGGAAGCAGGGACAGACCCAACCCTGAGAAACAAGGCCAATGAACTTCCAGCAGAACTAACCCAAAATGAATGGATATTGAGTTTCCTTCGAAGTAAAGAAGGACACGGTTAGAGCTAACTTAGTTTAATATTCGAGTGAAAGATCGGAACCTTAATCACATTGTCCAAAGAGAAATTGCATTTCCAATAATGTTGGAAATTCCTTTAAGAAAGAAAATGCACAGAATGCCCATCTTGGGTACCTGACCAAGAAGAGCTGAGCCTTCTGCCCTTAGTCAAGAACAGAACAGCTCAGGCACCCCTTCTTCTCACTTAGGTGGGCTTCTCCAGTGGGGCCTGGCAGATTCATGCATTCCAAAGAAACTTTAAACTACACTAACTTGGGTCTCTCAGTTAAATGCTAAGAGTTAAACCCTCTAAGAAGTTTAAACAAGAAGACAGAAAGAATAAAAGTCTGACCTTCAATGAATTAAAGTACTTTTGTGTTAAATGTAAGTGTACTAAAAGATATAGCTCCATCATTTTTACATATATATGTATGTCATTCCAGTGTAAAATGTTTTCTTCTATTCAAGGATCATTCATAGTCATATTACAAATCAATGATGTGTAAAGTTACACTATTAAAAAGCCACCTCTAACATTCCCTATGTGCTTTTCAAAGATGAACTATAAAAAAGACATAGTTCATTTGTGAGTTGATGCTCAAATTATTCCTAACATGTAAAGTTCATTTTTACCCCAAATCAGTATTATAGGTATGGTAAGAAAGAAGTGGCAAATTGGAAAGAAAATTACAAACCATAAGAAATTTAGACTGTCTCCTTGAGCTTTTATTTTGATTCTGTTGCTGGCATCTGTTTCCCATGCCATGACTAAGCAAACTTCATATGTCATGGAAACTTAAACTTCCAACACCATATTGCTTGATACAATGACTTTGAGGTCCTTGGATAAAATGTGATCTATGCAAGCACAATATGTTGCTATTACTATTACAGGAGTATAAATAAAAGACTGCTAATAGTGTCTAGTAAGTGTTCATCCATGCATGTTTTCGAGCTGGTTGATTCCAAGAAAAAAACATGGGTTTCATTGAATTATTCCTTTGCGGGGGTAAAAATTTATACTCAGTGCACTTAATACAATGGTTTCTAAATGCGTCAGTCAGTGCCTGACTGCACACACACAAATTAAACCTTTCTGTAGTCTGCCATTTTAAACACTGATAGTATTTGTTATTTAAACACGTCTTTAGTTTTCTTATTCATGTTCTATTCTGGTTTCCAGGCAATGTTCTATGTAAGGACCTGTTAAATTCAAGAGAAATGTAATCCCAAAAGATTTTTTTAACCAATTTGCAGTGGTCCTAAATGCATCATCTTTAAACCAGTAAACAATGGGATATAAATTTTGAAGTTGGAAGAGATTTCTTAAAGTTGTTATGGTCAATAAAACAATAAAAAAAGATAGTATGCCATACTCACAGTTCCGCACCTATATTTTTCACTTGGAGATCTTCCCATATTCGTACATAGAGAACTTAATTTTTTTAAACAGTTGTATCATTTCCCACTGAATGGGTGTCTCATGTATTATTTAACCAGACCCCTGCTGATAGACACTTAGCTGGTTCCAGTTGTTTCTGCTGTATTTGCTGGAAGGCAGCTGATTCCAGAAGGCCTTGGGTGACTGTTGTCCTCTACCAGATACTCCAGCAGATTTTCAGCTTCTCCCACACAGAGCGCTCCTCGGCTGCCTGAAACACCTCCCTCCTGCACAGACTCTGCACTGGACTCCATCGGCAGCTGGAAGACCTGGACACCTGCTTAGTGCAGGCAATGGGAGAGGTGGAATCTGCCTTCGAAACCGAGGGCCCTACATGGGCTGTGAAGAGGTACTTCCAGGGATCCACCTCTACCTGAAAGACCAAAAATACAGTGACTGTGCCTAGGAAATTGTCAGAGTGGAAATCATGAGATCCTTCTCTTCATCCAGAAACTTGCAAGAAGGTTTGGAACTGGGGCTAGAGACATAGGGTCTCCTTGAAATGATTCTCACTGAGGCATATGCTGTATCACTCTTGCACATATGTCGATGGTTATTCCAAAAGGTTATTTCAACTTTAATTACAGAATTAATTTAAGTAATTTACCTATTTGTCAGTAGTATTAAGCAAGAATATGTTAGATATTCAGGTCCTGAAGCATCAGACCCTAATAGATGATTACCCTATTTGCTTATATACTCATTTATTTACTTATTCTTGCATCTTATATTTGTTTACATTTTCATATAAAAGATATTTCCCTTAACATTCTATAAGAATTTAGAAAACATGCTCAACTTTCAATTTTATTACATTTGTATTCTATTAATTAAATTCTCATTAAAGAAAACCTCTTGAGTTTTTCATTCACAAAACTTAAATCCTTAGTCTTTCTATATAAATCTGTCACAGCATATCTTTGTCTATTAGGTCCTATGGAACAGTCCTACCACGTGTCAGAAAATGCCTGTCAAAAGCTGCAATTCCATGGAACTGAGAGGAGCCCTGGGAAATACGCACAACGGTCAGTACTTACGTCAGAGGCCTAACCGATTTCTGCCGAGTCAGCAACAGCAGCAGGTAGGAATGTCTGAGAGGAGTCACGGGGAGGGGAGCGCGGAAGGCATACGCTGCTTGCTGGTACCCGCCCTCCGGCTCTGTCCCCCGCGCAGCTTTACGGAGTCCATTCACACCCCTGTACAGTCTCTCCACTCCCTCCAGCACACAGGGGCTCTGCTCCCGTGTGGATTCTAGCTTCAAGGTTCCCGTTACGAGTGGAATGCCACAGGGAGAGAGCAAAAGTTAGAGTTGTAAGCTTTTCAAAACCACTGTAGGCAGGTTTGTTTCCGTGAGCGTCCAGATGAATACTCTGGGACCTGAGCAATGTGCCTTTACCAGGATGACATAGGTGCTGAGAGTAAAAGGGAACAGCTGAACCCAACTGCCCGTGTGCTCTGCTGAAACCCCCACACGGCCCTGCGCCCCTGCCGGCCACATGGGCCAAGGCCGAGATCAAATGTGGGGGCCAGGCTTCTCCAGGGGCAAGTCCTAGCCCTTCAGGGCGTTCCCCTCCTAAAGGAACAACAGGCGTTTTTCTGGCGAGCATTGACCGAATACTCGAATACGGTAGTTTTCCAAGCTGATCTCGTTACAAAAGGAAGTCTACAGCTTCACGCAGGGCAAGGCCTCCTTGGGCAATGGGCAGCTAGGGAGAGAGAAAGGGACTAAAAGATGTTCCCTGCCTCCAGCCTGCTACTAACCACTTCCTGACAAGCCTCCCTTATTCACACTGTGCGGTGGACCTAGATAAACTGGGAGTGGAACTGCAGTGGTGTTTTAATTAATGGGAAACCTCATAGCCCATGTTGTTGAATTTCTTTATAAACAATAAATTTCCAGTTGTGCAAATTCATTCCACATATCTGATCCTGTCTGACAACATAATTGGAAATATACTCATCATCGGACAGAATGATGATATTGGCAGCCCTTTGAAGTAGTCAGCTAGAGAGCTCAAGAGCATTTCAACAGCTGTCAGAGAATTCTGATACTGCCAACTGACAACCAGAGGGGTTGTCACTGAAGGACATGGATGTTGGTAATATTTGGGGGTGTTGTTATAATCCACACGGTATTGTCCTGGAGGTAGTCAACCAGGAATTGTGGGTGTGTATACTGATGAATTGCTCAAGTGGCCAGGAGGGGTGTCAGTTTGGGAGGGTTTTTGAATCTTTGCCTTAGATCACTTAGCCAGTGCTTTTGCTTGCTTTTCTGTAAGTTGTGGTTGGGACAGTCTTAGTCATATTTGAATTTTAGTAATTTTTGGTCCTTCATCTTTCTTTCCTCTACTGTTACTTCTGTGTGGACCAGTTCAGGCGCTGTGGCAAGGCTTGGCAGTTCTGGACTTCCCCTCTCTTTCACTGCCTGACTCAGTTCAAGTATTACTGTCCTTTCTATGTGGGGTACTGTCGAGAATGCATGTTACATGTACCAAGTATACATACACCTATACTTATGTCTACATAGAAGTATATATACAAACACATATATACATGTATAATTTTATTTTTGTTCATTTAATATTTAGTGTGGAAACTTCTCCTAGCCAACCATACACTGTCACTTTGCCCTGGAAAATCTCCATAGCCAAATCATGTTTGCTCTCCAGGAATCACAATACATTTATAGTATATTTAGGAGGTTTATGTGTATTCGAGGGCATTGGAGACCTGAAAACTAGGCTGGCAGCAGCAGAGCTGGGGGGCAGTGTAAGCTGGGCCACCACAGCACTGAGGTGCCTACCCTGTGGGCACAGGTCCCATCCTCTCTGGGACTTAGGTGCCCAAGACCCATGCAGCTGGGAAAAAGGACCAGGGGAGACCCAGGCTGCCATTATGGCGGCTGTGAACATCTGTGCACAGTCACTGGGCAGTGTTAGCTGGAGGTGGCTGAGTGTGAATGTAGGCATGCCTTGCTCCTCCCCATGTGCCAGTGCCACCAGGGGCTGTCACGGGCAAGACCCCAGGGACGACCAGCCAGGCCCAGAAATAGTGAACAGAGCAGGCGCAGCACCCGTGCAGCCCACGTGTCTAAACCACATAAGCTGGTAAAGAATGTAGGAACTCACTGTGCAGGTGTTCAGGGGCTTTGAAGTGGATTCCACTAGGAGGGGACTGCACCAGATACATGAGCTCATTTGCTCAGGAGATCAGGAGATTCAAGAACTGCGAGGGGGTAAGAGCTGGTCGCAGCTGGGGAACTTGGAATGTAGGAAACTCAGCAAAATTTGGTATGCAGGGCTTTTGACTGAACAGATTAAATAGAATATGTCAAGTGTGTTACATGTAAGTTAGAAGATATTGTAGATTAGCTGGTCTACGTTGGGAAGATATGGTGGGCAGCTACAGTTATGGTTCTCTGGCTCCAGCTACATTTTAAGAGTTGCAGGATGGCCAGTGTTGAGGCAATCAGAACCTGAAATTGCAAATTCATAAAAGGCAAAAATAAATTCTTCATATAATGCAACATGCAAACATCACCAAAATTCAGTTTTAGAAAAACTGCTGGCTAAGCAAGGTGTTTGACAAGTGAAATCATCCTGAAGAAAACACCGTGTTACCATTGTGAGGAATGTGATGGCAAAGTACACTGTTAAATGTCATGAGGGAAGAAGGGTGGCTGTTATGCCTCAGACAAATGGGAACTGGAAATAACTTTTTATCAAAAACTAGTAGAGTTCTCCAGAGAAACAGACCCAATAAGATGTATGTACATACAGATTTATTTTAAGAGGCATTGGCTGAAGAAATTGTGGAGACTGATAAATCCAATTATCGGCAGATTAGGCCAGCAGACTGGAGACAGCAGGAAGAGTTGCAGGTTGAGTTCAAATATAGCGTGCTAGCAGAATTCCGTCTTCTTCTGGGAGGTCAGTCTTTTTCTACAAGGCCTTCAACTGATTGGATGGGGTCCATCCACAGTGGGTAATCTGGTTTCCTGAGTCTACCAATTTAAATGATAATCTTAAGTGTTCATAGAAACATGTAAAATGTTTGACTAAATATCTAGGTACCATGGCCTAGCCAAGCTGGCACATAAAATTAGTGATAACAGGCACTGTACTGTACAAAGGATGTTCAGATTCTCAGCAGCCTCTGGTTCTTGTGGACAGTGGTATTCCTGGAATGTGGATAAGGGCTCAGGATGTGGAGTCAGAGGCCTAGCTCCCAAAATGTTGCTATACCTTGAAAAGGTTATTAAATTCCCTTGTAGCTCTGTTTTTTTAATATAAAATGGGGATAATGAAAAGACCTACATTTGCCCATTTTGTCAGCTGATATGTACTAAGGCAACTATAACAAGAACTGACACATATAGGTGATTGAGAAACACCTGTTTTATATATGCATGTACACTCAAAGGAGTGTTCATGGAATGAATCCCAAGTATTAACGTGCTTAGAATAGTACCTAGTCCATAGTAGCTGCTTACCATAATCCTTATTTTTTAATACTGCCATATAAATTTCCAACTATATTGAGTATTAGTGATAGTGAGATGATCCAAGTTTTTGAATGGATTCATTAATCATGGGCCCATTGCAAAGAACTAATACCCACTATTCTGCCAGATAGAATTAGTGAATTAGTAAACTGGTGTTATTTAAAACTCTTGTGAGTTGGTTGCCTAGGACTGAGTAGAGACTAGAGCTCTATCCAAAACTCAGAAACCATATACTTAGGTATGATAGAAGAGTTCAGAGTAAAATCCCCAAAACTTTGGTTCAGGGCCATGGAAAAGCTTATTAGAGGAGTTTGGGCCCCCGAGGGCAGAGTCCCTCAACACTGTTCATGAGACGCTTCTGTCTCAGCCAGGCCTCCCCTTGTGTTAGATCTGACACATGGAGAGCAATGCTGAGCCTTGCAAACACTCTGATTGGATTCTACTTGACTTGGCCTCAGGGTGCAGATTCCTATAGCCTATGTGTTCTTGAGGATCTGAGAGTTGGTGCCCCTTTTCAGTAGAGGGCCACTGTCAGAAATACCAGTAAATGACTAGGTGCACAAAATACTTCTTTATTCAAGTTTGACAAAGGATCAGTAGAAAATATTTGATCTCCTAAAGATGAATAACATGGAGACAATAGAGATCTCAAATCAATGCAGAAGGTCACACACATTATTCATCAATGCTTGTTGCTTCTTTAAAATGAAAAGGGGAAAAATTGCTTCTGAATTCTGTTTTTTGTGGCCTTTCAGCAGCAATGCAAAGGCAGAAAGAAAGCAGGTAAAGTTTTGCTATTCAACCCTGGGTCCTTCCAGGTTGAATCTTCTTTCTTTTTTATGTAAAGTCCCAGAGGTCCATAATTGCTGCTGATGTCACCTGCTAGAGCCAGTCCTTCTCAGAAAACAGCACCCTCAGAGGGAGACACATAGCAGAATAGTAAAGAAATTGGAATCTGGGACACTTCTAATCCATGCTCTGTTGCTCCCTGTGAAAGCTGGGCCATAGATTCACTTATCTATTAGGTGACAGTGAGATATGGTAGAAGAACTATTGCGTGGCAGCAAAACTTTTGGGTAATGACTTTGGACAAGTTAAGTTCCCTGTTTGGGACTCCTTGTTTGAGAGAGCACCTGGCTCCACACCTCCTGGGGCTGTTCTGATGATCACCAGGGACAGTGTATGTGAAAGCACTTTAAAATGACATAACCCCATACACGTGGGCCTTACTATTATTGTCATTGAATCTTGGACCTTGAATCCTAATTCTTGGGCACTAATTTTGAAAGAATGTTCCCAATGGAACATTCTACTTAGCCATCTCCATACTGTCTTTATTCCTACTTCCACTTGACACACACAGGCTCCTATTTTCCCTGTTTGAAGAGCTCACCCAAAAGGTGCTAACGTGGCCCCAAATGTACTTTCTCTTCAGAAAAGGTGATTTATCTCTTTGCTATTTCAGGTATCCCTCCTGCTGGCTTGCTCTATGGAATTCCAGGGCCCCAGTGCAACAGGAAATTGAACTGAGGGAGAGCCACAGGGAATTGAAGATGAAATGAGGGACAGAAAGAATGTCATAAAGGCAGTGCTGTGAGGAATGTGACCTTCCAAAGACCACCAGGCCAGGCTGTCCCCATTCTCCTTTTTTCACCTGTTGTCTTTTACATGTACCTGCATTAACTCCCTATGAGGGCTGCTTTCTGTGGGTCACTCTAAGAGATGACATGTGGCTTGGTGAGTCACTCAGAATGAATTATGAAGAGGCCCATGGGAGAACTAGACCAGAAGGACCCTGGGTGTTTACCCAGGAGGCAGACATGGGCAAGAAGATAGGGAGGATCATACTGTGAGATGCCCACTCTGCGTTGCTCCAGCCTGGGAAATCCCACGTCCATGCACGAAACAGAAATGTGGCTCCCTTTTTATGCCAGGAATATTATCAGAATTCTTCTTGGAGGCCTTCTTTCCTTAATCCAGATTTTGATAGATTTTAGAAGCCCATGTTAGGCAGTCTTGGGTACATCAGAGGCAGGGCCCCACTCCTTCTGAAAATAAAACACTTCAGTGTGAAGAAGACCCAATCCAAGCCTCTTCCCTACTCCACTGTTCTTCCTTATCTACTCAGATTTCCAGGTCTTACTCTGCAGCAATGCTTGCAGTGCTCCTTGGAGAAAACTCTCGAGTGGGCTGGGAAGAAGAGGCAACCACAAAAGACTCAGCCCCCGGCCTGGGTAGCTCTTTCACTCCACCCTCACTTGTGGGTAAGAGAAGACAAGACAGCCATGAGAGGGGTCCCCTCAATTCTGCTCAGACGCTTACAGGGGTTCCCCAGACTGGGGAGGACAGCAAAGAGGACAAAAATCCATCAACAACCTAAGAGAGCAAGGACTCTAAGAGACCCTTAGCAGGAGAAGATGAGACAGAGGATGCAGGAAAGAGACTAACCACCTCAAGGAGAGACACCTCCTCAGACCGAAGATCAGAAGAGGCTCCTGGCACAAGAACCACCAGTTCCTGCCATAGGTTTCACTGAAGAGCAGCAGCAAAAAGAGAATGAGGCCTTTCCTTTAGTGCTTTCAGATACTTAAGAGGGAGGGAACAAAAATATCCCACACTATGCCCGCTAGGAGCCTGTGTTCCCAGCCAGACCACAGTGGTATGGACAAGGATGGCGGGTCCCTCCGACCCCCCTCACACCTGCCCTATGCCTTGTCTCTACAAGGTGTTTCCTCTGGTCAACTACCCTCTAACTTCCAAGAAGATTTCTCTCAAAGGATTGTTTCCATAATATTAGAAAAAATTCATTGTTTCTCATATTATGCATCCTCTGAGGACGGTCTCTGTTCTCAAAAACAGCAACATTTATTCTTCACAAATATATTTGTTTCTTCTAAAAAGAGAGTGTTTTCTTTTGTCTCTACTGCATTTGGGGGAATGTGAGAGTTTTCCAGAAACTGGGGCTTAGGGAAAAGAAAAGGTTGGTTCCATTCTTACTGAGAGCTGACAATTTTCTCAAAGCTGAGGCTGGTCACGGGAACTTTGCAGCAGCCCTACACACCCACCACCATCTCAGCTTCCTTCATCTGTTATTCTGAACGTGGCCATCCGAAAAACAAATACAAAAGCATAAAAACTTCTCAAATGCTTGGGGGGGACTTAAGAAAAATGGGGAAACCCACTAAAGAACAAGCCTGGCTCTATCACAATATTGAACTGTAAATAGCCATGGGTTGGAATGCTCAGGGTTGCATGGGCACACAGGTTAAATGCCCCATTCGGTCTCCAGGAAGAGTGGGAGACAAGGAAGCTCACACCCCACCAGAACTGGAGTTGGCTGCGTAAGGAACACATCCCACCTTACAGAGCAGTTTGAAGGATATCTTCCATGTGACTCCAGGGCCCTCTTCCATTCCTGATGAGGGCTGGGTGCATCAGCTCAGCTCCCCAGGTCTTAAAGAAGGTCTACAACTGACCACGTTTCCCCTTTGCTTTCCTGGCATGAGGCCTCTGGTGCAGAGGGAGGCAGAACTCCTGGCTGATTGTGGGTTAGCAGGTAGGGACAGGAGGAGGCCAAAGGGAAGGCAGAGCAGGTGAAGGGCCCTAGCAAACATGGAAGTGGAAGAACTTGGTCTTATTAGTCTTGGCAAAGAAATCTCCATCTCGTCAAGAAGTGCTCTGCTCACCATTCAGCTCCTGGAAGAGAGCTGGGTTCTAAGTTATTAAAACAGACCCATGGCCTGGGTCACTTTGCTCAAGGCAGCCCAGCTCTGAAAGTGTTCAGAGGTAAGACTGTTGTCTGGAAAACAGTAACTCTTTGAATGTTAGAAAAACAGAGCTAGGGGAGCATTAGCAGGGTGGTATTTGGGGGCAGGGAGTACTGCTGAGTGGATTACCAGAGGAATGTGAGAGGCCACGAAACTACGGAATGCTACTTAAGGATCTTCCCTGTCTGTGGTGTCTGCCTTGAAACAAAATTTTAATTCAACAAGGAGTTTTCCCCACTGAGTGAGTAACTTAAGAAAGGGAAGCCCCTTCCTATGGAAAGCCTACATGGTGCCTGGCTTGATGACATCACTGCAGGACAAAGGGATCACATGGCCTTCAATGAGGGGATGGTCTGGGTCACACAGTGCCTGCAGAAAAATGAGGCAGATAGTGAGGAAAAATTTTGAGGATGAGTGTGTGGGAAAGATGGAAAGCCAGTGTGTGGGAAAGATGGGAAAAAATAGCCTAATTAGTGGGAAGGAATGGGAATATTTCCATCATCACTAATCAAGACAACTCTCACTCCTTAGCCACACACACACACACACACACACACACACACACACACACACACACACACACCAACCCAAGTGCCTCCCAAGGACACTGAAGAGCACATTCATGTCTCCTTATCAGTAGTTTAGAGGTAGGAGGTAGGGCATGTCTTTGAGCACAAAGACAATGTCTGCAGGGATGTGTTCAGGCAAAATTCCTTTTTGGGTAAGTGCCTTATAGTAACCGCTTATGAGATTGTGCAGGATCTTGTCCTTGGGGCAGAGCTGGCCTCTCAGTGCTGGGGCACCCTCTGTGATCTCTGTGTGCTTGGTAGAGCCATGGGGTAGCTCCTTCAGGGACATAGACACTCATGCTGCATAATCAGGTCCTGCAATTTGTGACAAGAATAGTTTTTCTGGGCACACCTTGGATCACTACTCAGTCCATTGATGTCAACATGGTCAAATGTTCTGAATCATGCTCCGTATTCCTCTATATCCATGTGGTCTGGACCAACACCATTCAAGGGGTGAGTACAGTCACTGCTAAAAAAGGGCGGAAATGGTGTTGCCAAGAGGAGAGCCATCACGAAATTAAAGTCAAGAAAAGAGGCACTGGAGCCCCTGTTGCCCCATTCCCACCTGCAGGAGAGAAAAGGAAAGGTCAGGGAAGCCCCTCCTGGCTCTCTCTACTCCAGTTCCTTCACCTTTCTTTCACTTGAGTCTATTAACCTGAAGAGAGGATGAATGAGCAAATAGGTGGAGATCCAGGACTAGAGAACTCAGAGGAGGTGACCCTCAGGACAATGACCTTTCGTATACTCCCATGGCTAAAGACTACTCATCCAAAGGGAGGTGGTGGCTTAAAATACTGATGGCTATAGTCACATAATAAGCCATATTTGGCCCCCACATCAGAATTTTTCTCCAGAAACACACATGGGGTGAGGCAATCAGACAAGATGTGTACACACAAAGAGGTTTTGTCCAAAATCTGGTGGGGCACACCAAAGGAAGGCTTCCTTACATTAGCTCTGATTCTAGGTGTGTTTCCCCTTCCCTTCCTCCAACTCTTGCCCACACTGACTAGTTGACATTTTTGTGGTTGTTTTTAAGTTTAAACATGCAATTGTCATAACATCCAAGTGAGTGTCTTTCTCTAAAGAAGGTGTCATGAAGTAAAATTTATTGGTCAAAATAAATACCCAATGCAAATATGTATTGCCAACTGTCCATGAAAAATGGCTATATTAATCTACATTTGAGTGTGTAAGTTTATATATGTTCACACACATTGACTAACACAGTGTCTTCTTCTTTTAGTTTCTGCCCATCTGAAGGTGACAGGTAGCATCTGTCAGCAACCATTAGTTGTCCTTTTGTCCTTGGTGCTAGTTACTATCTGTCACAGTCCAGTCAGAAAAACAGAAAATTTACTCCAACCTTCTAGTCCATCTCCTGTAATTGGTATGGAAGAACTTAAAATGAAAAAAAAATCTGCTGGTAAGAAGTGTAGTTGAGAGAACTGGATTCCCAGCATTACACGTGGAGAAGATTTGAGAAGAGTTGAGAGGATTTGGACCTGAGACTTCAGCTTCAAGACCAGAAGAATATTTTCAGATTCTTTGGAAATTTGTATTTCTTCTGTGAATTTCCTATCCATAGGTAAAGCATCTACTGCTTTTGCATTTTTTCCTTACATAAAGAAATTTATTATTCGTTTTTTAATACAAACTTTTTGCTTTATACACGTGGTAGGCATACACTGTCCATTAAGGTCTTCAATTAGATCCCAGATGCCACACTCACACTCTCAAATGTGCAGCTTTACCAAGTTCCCTGAAAAAAACCCTCAGTGGTGTTACCATGACAGGTGTATGCAAAGGCAGTTCATTATTTGCTCATCTTATAATTTTATTATGCAAAAACTCCTTCACGTCAGAATGATAACTGCAAGAATGATATTCTTGCTTGGAAGTTTTTTTCTTTCAGTTATTTGAATATATTGTGCCACTCCCTTGTGGCCTGCAAAGTGTTTTTTCAAAATGTTTCTTAAACTTTAACATTTTAGGAGCAGTTCATTAAATGTGAATGACATCGTAGGCACACATTTTCCCTCCTCCACCCCTGCCACCCCTGGGGCTCCTTTAAGTCTCAGTTGTGTGTCCTGGAGTCACTCCACCTGGAGGGTCCCAGTATTTCCTACATTCGCATCCGGACTGTAGATGCGTTTCCCGTCTCTGAGTCCTGGCCTTTCTCCGCGGGAACGATTCCGAATCTGAAAACGCACCACAGCACGCTCTGATTTCGAGCCGTCAATGCCCTGAATTCATGGCGCTTCTGTAAACCGGCCTGGCCGACCTGTTCGAGGAGGAAGGACAGGCTCCGCGCAGGGGCCGGTCCGGAAAGCTCCCGGGCGGCCAGGGCCCGGAGCGGAAGCTTTCTGGCGGCTCTCGCGGCTGCGTCCCGCCGGGTCTGTCATAAAGGCAGTGCTGTGAGGAATGTGACCTTCCAAAGACCACCAGGCCAGGCTGTCCCCATTCTCCTTTTTTCACCTGTTGTCTTTTACATGTACCTGCATTAACTCCCTATGAGGGCTGCTTTCTGTGGGTCACTCTAAGAGATGACATATGGCTTGGTGAGTCACTCAGAATGAATTATGAAGAGGCCCAGGGGAGAACTAGACCAGAAGGACCCTGGGTGTTTACCCAGGAGGCAGACATGGGCAAGAAGATAGGGAGGATCATACTGTGAGATGCCCACTCTGCGTTGCTCCAGCCTGGGAAATCCCACGTCCATGCACGAAACAGAAATGTGGCTCCCTTTTTATGCCAGGAATATTATCAGAATTCTTCTTGGAGGCCTTCTTTCCTTAATCCAGATTTTGATAGATTTTAGAAGCCCATGTTAGGCAGTCTTGGGTACATCAGAGGCAGGGCCCCACTCCTTCTGAAAATAAAACACTTCAGTGTGAAGAAGACCCAATCCAAGCCTCTTCCCTACTCCACTGTTCTTCCTTATCTACTCAGATTTCCAGGTCTTACTCTGCAGCAATGCTTGCAGTGCTCCTTGGAGAAAACTCTCGAGTGGGCTGGGAAGAAGAGGCAACCACAAAAGACTCAGCCCCCGGCCTGGGTAGCTCTTTCACTCCACCCTCACTTGTGGGTAAGAGAAGACAAGACAGCCATGAGAGGGGTCCCCTCAATTCTGCTCAGACGCTTACAGGGGTTCCCCAGACTGGGGAGGACAGCAAAGAGGACAAAAATCCATCAACAACCTAAGAGAGCAAGGACTCTAAGAGACCCTTAGCAGGAGAAGATGAGACAGAGGATGCAGGAAAGAGACTAACCACCTCAAGGAGAGACACCTCCTCAGACCGAAGATCAGAAGAGGCTCCTGGCACAAGAACCACCAGTTCCTGCCATAGGTTTCACTGAAGAGCAGCAGCAAAAAGAGAATGAGGCCTTTCCTTTAGTGCTTTCAGATACTTAAGAGGGAGGGAACAAAAATATCCCACACTATGCCCGCTAGGAGCCTGTGTTCCCAGCCAGACCACAGTGGTATGGACAAGGATGGCGGGTCCCTCCGACCCCCCTCACACCTGCCCTATGCCTTGTCTCTACAAGGTGTTTCCTCTGGTCAACTACCCTCTAACTTCCAAGAAGATTTCTCTCAAAGGATTGTTTCCATAATATTAGAAAAAATTCATTGTTTCTCATATTATGCATCCTCTGAGGACGGTCTCTGTTCTCAAAAACAGCAACATTTATTCTTCACAAATATATTTGTTTCTTCTAAAAAGAGAGTGTTTTCTTTTGTCTCTACTGCATTTGGGGGAATGTGAGAGTTTTCCAGAAACTGGGGCTTAGGGAAAAGAAAAGGTTGGTTCCATTCTTACTGAGAGCTGACAATTTTCTCAAAGCTGAGGCTGGTCACGGGAACTTTGCAGCAGCCCTACACACCCACCACCATCTCAGCTTCCTTCATCTGTTATTCTGAACGTGGCCATCCGAAAAACAAATACAAAAGCATAAAAACTTCTCAAATGCTTGGGGGGGACTTAAGAAAAATGGGGAAACCCACTAAAGAACAAGCCTGGCTCTATCACAATATTGAACTGTAAATAGCCATGGGTTGGAATGCTCAGGGTTGCATGGGCACACAGGTTAAATGCCCCATTCGGTCTCCAGGAAGAGTGGGAGACAAGGAAGCTCACACCCCACCAGAACTGGAGTTGGCTGCGTAAGGAACACATCCCACCTTACAGAGCAGTTTGAAGGATATCTTCCATGTGACTCCAGGGCCCTCTTCCATTCCTGATGAGGGCTGGGTGCATCAGCTCAGCTCCCCAGGTCTTAAAGAAGGTCTACAACTGACCACGTTTCCCCTTTGCTTTCCTGGCATGAGGCCTCTGGTGCAGAGGGAGGCAGAACTCCTGGCTGATTGTGGGTTAGCAGGTAGGGACAGGAGGAGGCCAAAGGGAAGGCAGAGCAGGTGAAGGGCCCTAGCAAACATGGAAGTGGAAGAACTTGGTCTTATTAGTCTTGGCAAAGAAATCTCCATCTCGTCAAGAAGTGCTCTGCTCACCATTCAGCTCCTGGAAGAGAGCTGGGTTCTAAGTTATTAAAACAGACCCATGGCCTGGGTCACTTTGCTCAAGGCAGCCCAGCTCTGAAAGTGTTCAGAGGTAAGACTGTTGTCTGGAAAACAGTAACTCTTTGAATGTTAGAAAAACAGAGCTAGGGGAGCATTAGCAGGGTGGTATTTGGGGGCAGGGAGTACTGCTGAGTGGATTACCAGAGGAATGTGAGAGGCCACGAAACTACGGAATGCTACTTAAGGATCTTCCCTGTCTGTGGTGTCTGCCTTGAAACAAAATTTTAATTCAACAAGGAGTTTTCCCCACTGAGTGAGTAACTTAAGAAAGGGAAGCCCCTTCCTATGGAAAGCCTACATGGTGCCTGGCTTGATGACATCACTGCAGGACAAAGGGATCACATGGCCTTCAATGAGGGGATGGTCTGGGTCACACAGTGCCTGCAGAAAAATGAGGCAGATAGTGAGGAAAAATTTTGAGGATGAGTGTGTGGGAAAGATGGAAAGCCAGTGTGTGGGAAAGATGGGAAAAAATAGCCTAATTAGTGGGAAGGAATGGGAATATTTCCATCATCACTAATCAAGACAACTCTCACTCCTTAGCCACACACACACACACACACACACACACACACACACACACACACACACACACCAACCCAAGTGCCTCCCAAGGACACTGAAGAGCACATTCATGTCTCCTTATCAGTAGTTTAGAGGTAGGAGGTAGGGCATGTCTTTGAGCACAAAGACAATGTCTGCAGGGATGTGTTCAGGCAAAATTCCTTTTTGGGTAAGTGCCTTATAGTAACCGCTTATGAGATTGTGCAGGATCTTGTCCTTGGGGCAGAGCTGGCCTCTCAGTGCTGGGGCACCCTCTGTGATCTCTGTGTGCTTGGTAGAGCCATGGGGTAGCTCCTTCAGGGACATAGACACTCATGCTGCATAATCAGGTCCTGCAATTTGTGACAAGAATAGTTTTTCTGGGCACACCTTGGATCACTACTCAGTCCATTGATGTCAACATGGTCAAATGTTCTGAATCATGCTCCGTATTCCTCTATATCCATGTGGTCTGGACCAACACCATTCAAGGGGTGAGTACAGTCACTGCTAAAAAAGGGCGGAAATGGTGTTGCCAAGAGGAGAGCCATCACGAAATTAAAGTCAAGAAAAGAGGCACTGGAGCCCCTGTTGCCCCATTCCCACCTGCAGGAGAGAAAAGGAAAGGTCAGGGAAGCCCCTCCTGGCTCTCTCTACTCCAGTTCCTTCACCTTTCTTTCACTTGAGTCTATTAACCTGAAGAGAGGATGAATGAGCAAATAGGTGGAGATCCAGGACTAGAGAACTCAGAGGAGGTGACCCTCAGGACAATGACCTTTCGTATACTCCCATGGCTAAAGACTACTCATCCAAAGGGAGGTGGTGGCTTAAAATACTGATGGCTATAGTCACATAATAAGCCATATTTGGCCCCCACATCAGAATTTTTCTCCAGAAACACACATGGGGTGAGGCAATCAGACAAGATGTGTACACACAAAGAGGTTTTGTCCAAAATCTGGTGGGGCACACCAAAGGAAGGCTTCCTTACATTAGCTCTGATTCTAGGTGTGTTTCCCCTTCCCTTCCTCCAACTCTTGCCCACACTGACTAGTTGACATTTTTGTGGTTGTTTTTAAGTTTAAACATGCAATTGTCATAACATCCAAGTGAGTGTCTTTCTCTAAAGAAGGTGTCATGAAGTAAAATTTATTGGTCAAAATAAATACCCAATGCAAATATGTATTGCCAACTGTCCATGAAAAATGGCTATATTAATCTACATTTGAGTGTGTAAGTTTATATATGTTCACACACATTGACTAACACAGTGTCTTCTTCTTTTAGTTTCTGCCCATCTGAAGGTGACAGGTAGCATCTGTCAGCAACCATTAGTTGTCCTTTTGTCCTTGGTGCTAGTTACTATCTGTCACAGTCCAGTCAGAAAAACAGAAAATTTACTCCAACCTTCTAGTCCATCTCCTGTAATTGGTATGGAAGAACTTAAAATGAAAAAAAAATCTGCTGGTAAGAAGTGTAGTTGAGAGAACTGGATTCCCAGCATTACACGTGGAGAAGATTTGAGAAGAGTTGAGAGGATTTGGACCTGAGACTTCAGCTTCAAGACCAGAAGAATATTTTCAGATTCTTTGGAAATTTGTATTTCTTCTGTGAATTTCCTATCCATAGGTAAAGCATCTACTGCTTTTGCATTTTTTCCTTACATAAAGAAATTTATTATTCGTTTTTTAATACAAACTTTTTGCTTTATACACGTGGTAGGCATACACTGTCCATTAAGGTCTTCAATTAGATCCCAGATGCCACACTCACACTCTCAAATGTGCAGCTTTACCAAGTTCCCTGAAAAAAACCCTCAGTGGTGTTACCATGACAGGTGTATGCAAAGGCAGTTCATTATTTGCTCATCTTATAATTTTATTATGCAAAAACTCCTTCACGTCAGAATGATAACTGCAAGAATGATATTCTTGCTTGGAAGTTTTTTTCTTTCAGTTATTTGAATATATTGTGCCACTCCCTTGTGGCCTGCAAAGTGTTTTTTCAAAATGTTTCTTAAACTTTAACATTTTAGGAGCAGTTCATTAAATGTGAATGACATCGTAGGCACACATTTTCCCTCCTCCACCCCTGCCACCCCTGGGGCTCCTTTAAGTCTCAGTTGTGTGTCCTGGAGTCACTCCACCTGGAGGGTCCCAGTATTTCCTACTTTCGCATCCGGACTGTAGATGCGTTTCCCGTCTCTGAGTCCTGGCCTTTCTCCGCGGGAACGATTCCGAATCTGAAAACGCACCACAGCACGCTCTGATTTCGAGCCGTCAATGCCCTGAATTCATGGCGCTTCTGTAAACCGGCCTGGCCGACCTGTTCGAGGAGGAAGGACAGGCTCCGCGCAGGGGCCGGTCCGGAAAGCTCCCGGGCGGCCAGGGCCCGGAGCGGAAGCTTTCTGGCGGCTCTCGCGGCTGCGTCCCGCCGGGTCGGGGCTGCTGCTGCTGCTGGTGAAGCTGCGGTTCTGCGAATGGACTTGGCACCCGAGACCGCGGTGCTGGCCCTCCAGACGGGTCCCGCTGGCAGGTCGAAGCCGGTGGGTCCGTTCCGTGAGTGCGGGCGCCCCCTTTCGGTCGTTGGGACGCAACGAAGGCCTTGCGCGCCCCGTAGGGCGGTGGCCGCGCGCTGGGTTTCACTGTGGTCCTGGCAAAGCAATCCATTTCTAACCCCTGGTCTCTCTGCCGAGGGCAATGGTGATGCTCGGCTCCTTCCCTCACATTTTACCCGTTAGCACACGTCGTCTTATATTTTGCCAATCATGTCATGTAATTTTGGTGGCATAAATATTTGTTCCTTTTAATCCATAAAACCCACAAGCGCAGCATTTTCTACAGAAGAGTCACTAAAATGTTTGTAATTCAGTCGCTCTGGTGCTGGTGCCATAAGTCTAAGTCCTGTCTCCTATGCATCTCATAAATTTATTGTGAGAATTAACTGAGCAATCTGTATGAGTCACCTGGGATATATTAAATATGGTTATTTTATTATTAGAATTATTAATTTTATCGATATTTTAGGCTCATAATTATCAAATGATAATTTCATTTTTATTATATGAAATAATCAAAATACTTTGTCATTAGGTCAATTCATTTACAAATTTGTGGAGTTGGCAGACAAATTAATGAAAACAGGAAATTTATGATCAGTGAGGAATGAGATGATAAACATAAATGTGTTAGAGGTGCAGAGCTTTCCAGAAAATAAGTGGTGGTTTAGTACTTGCAGTTTTCATAGGCGTTTAATATGGATAAGGAGGTGGAGTTTGGAATCTGACATAGCAGGTTTTGAAATCTGGATTTAACGTATATAAACTCTTAGCAGTCGGCTCTTTGGAAATGAGGATATTAACAACTCAGTTTCAACTATGTTGGAAGGATTAAATAACATCCCTTAGAAAGGGCAATATGTAGTTGCTATAATCAGCAGCAGCACCATCATTTTTTAGTAAAGACTGAAAGAAGTCTGTGGAATTTGACAGGTATGTCCTTGGTGATCATAATCAGAGTGACACTGTAACACTGAATTAGTAAACAATTCAGGATTAATGTGCCATAGGTAAATGAAGTCTGATAAGGGGCTGAATCCAGACTCACTAAATGTTTGAACTTTTTAGATTTTAGATTTTGTAATATGTTGACCCATAGATCTGTTTCTTACTGCAATATATTTCTGTACATGCTTGAAAGTATTATAAATGTATAGGCATAAAAAGACTTAATATATACTTTTGATGGGCATCAAAGAAAAACCTCTCTCAATCGGTTGTCTGATTTTACCATTTTATGGTACTAATATCAAATCCTGGCCACCAATTATGCAAAAGTTATTACTGACCTGACTAGGAAAATTCCATTTTTCCTATGCCAAACAGTATTTTCTAATTATTCAGAAGATAATCCATTTTAATATTTTTTAAAAACTGCTCAAAGTTCATTAAAACTTTTAATTAAAAAGATTTCTAACACCTCAACATTCATAAACATGCTTGCATAAAACTGATCTGCCAGAGATAAGAGAAGTTTGGCCTATCTCCATTCGCACTTCCATTCTCACATTTAGATTTTCTATCACTTTATAAAAGAAGTCTCTTACCCATCCCAAGCCTCAACATGTTGCACAACCCCAGGGTGCAAAACCTAGGTGAGACACCAAACAGACAGACAATTCTAGAGGCTCATTTTTTTGGAGACATTCCCTTGTTACATATTTTTAACCTTTCTTGCCCTTAAGCCCTGCTCTTCCCCTGACTGTGCTGTGTGAATGGGCCCCCATCTTTCGCATACCCCTGAGATAGAGACACAGATGTTATCCTTGAGTCCTCACCTTCCAAGATCCTATCCAATAAATCACCACAGGCTGTCCCACTGACGTGATTCACCTGGACCACCTGCCATATTCATGGCTACCCATTATCTGTAGAACAGCCTTTCTCCTTAGAGGATATACCACCTTATAAATTCTATTTTTCAGATGTAGTTGTCTTAAAATATTTTTGCAAACTGTCTCATACTCTCCCCTGTTCCTTCCCTTGACTATGTGTTGGAGTAGTGACTTCCTTCCAATGAGTACACAACATATGGCTGAAATGATTGTAACTTCTAAGGCTCTAAATTTACTGCCTCCTCCACTTCTTTCATCACTCACTGTTGTAGAATCCAGCTGCTGTGCTGTGAGGAAACACCACAGACCTCAGAGAGAGGCCCATGTGACTGTTGAGGAATGAAGGCTTCCTGCCAATGTCCATGTGAGTAAACCATGTTAGAAGCAGATGCTCCATCCCATAAAGCCTTCAGGTGGCTGCAGGCCAGCTGACATCTGGACAGCAACCTCATCAGAGATCCTGAGCCCACCGAATCTACTCTTAAATTCTTGAGTCACAAAAACTGTTAGGCAATAAACTCTTGTTTGAAGCCGCTCGATTTTCCAGGTAATTATGCATCAATGGAAAACTAATTCAGCAATGCAGGAGACACAATTCAAATTTCCAGTCTCCTTTGTGGATAGAACAAAGGACACTCGAATAGGACTTTGGCAATCTGAAGCACCTCTGTGGGATTTTGATCCTAAAGTGAAACTGAGAAGATAGAGGCTCTGTATGGGGATTCCATGTTTGCTGGCTAAGGTGGTGGCTTCCCGTGGTAACAAGTTCAAGTTTCTGGCAAAGAACTGGCATCATAAAATGGCAGTTCCATGCAGGTCTTACTGGAAGATGAGCAAAAACATAAATGAAATCAGTGAAACTGATTTGTTCCTTTTGGATTTTAGGCAGATTAAAGGCTTAAGGGCACTTTGTATCTCTTTATGAATAAGGCCCAACATTTAAAATAAAGATTTAATTAGCCCCCCAGGCAAATAAAGTGGAAGGCAAAGCTTGTCATATTATAAATTTTGCAAAAACAGCAATTATCACAAAGTAGATTATTACAAATTAAAATGTAATTTCTTTCCTTTCAAAAGAACACATTATTGATAAACTCCCCAAAATGACTCAGTACATTTTATAATTGAAGCAGACAAAAAGTGTTTAAACTGAATGAATATTTATAACATTGAGGTCACTTATAAATAGATGAGACTCAGTTGTAGAAGACTGAGTTTAAGTCTACTTTCTAACTTCCTGAATCTTCTATTGAGCTTATTGATACAAAGAAAGACATTATTGATCTTCATTTCCAGACTGACCATGTCCCAGGCATAGCACCTCTATACAGCTGACCCTGGATCGACATGGGGGTTTTGGGCACTGACTCCCATGCAGTTAAATATACTCATGTAGCTTTTGACTCCCCCAAACCTTAAATACAAATAGCATACTGTTGACCACAAGCCTTAGTGAGAACATGGTTGATTAACATATTTTGTATGTTATATGTATTATGCACAGCATTCTTATAATAAAGCAAAACTAGAGAAAATGCTTTTTCAAATTGTTGCAAATCTCCAAAAATTTTCCAATGTATTCATAGAAGAACATCTGTGTATAAGTGGACCTGTGCTGTTGAGGCCTGTGTTGTTCCAGGGCAACTGTACTTTCTTTGCTGCAGAAAGATTCTTTAGAACTAGCTCTTTCAGTCCAGCTGGAATCGTTATAGCTCAGGGAGTCTTTCCATCTCTATTTTCTGCACCAAACAGGTCTCCAGAAATTCCAGCTGCTGACCACCCCAGTGAGGATCATCAGCCCTTTCTGCTGAAAAAGTTGAAGAATTGCTAGATCATCTCAGGGAAAAAGAGGTGGGCTGAGCCTTTTGGAATTTAGTGCCATATTCATTTCAGCTGCTCCTGGGCAAACCTGAAACATTTGCGGTCTTCAGAAAACAAAACAAGGAAGATTGTCCCCATTTGGTGAAATGTCAAGGTCTCCTCTATGGTTCTCAGCCAGGTCAGAGCTAAAAGTGCAGATGGAGCTGCAACATCATCCTCCGTGTTATCAGTGAAAGGGACTGGCAGGCCCCTGGTGAGCTGGTGATGCAGTCTGGCTATGGGACCCTCTGCCCAAATGCTCTCAGCACCACCTTGAAAATTAGATTCTTAAATAGGCTAGGATTGTCATTTCTGTACTGTCTCAATTTTCTTTCCACTTTAAAAAATTTCTTTTCTATTAATGGGCCTCAGGTTTTGTCACCACCTCTTTTGTATCATTATACTGGAAATTAAACACACTTGTGAAAAACGACAGAGGTGTCAATCCTATAGGATGTATACGTCTAATTGAGACCCAAGATTGAAATAAAAACCTGAGTCTCCATCTGTCTCTCTTTTTAAATTCTAGTAGGAGTACTCAGAGGTGTGATCCTGGATGCCATTTTTACACTTCTTAAACTACACTTCTTTAAGCTGCACTTAAATTGCACGACTTGCCTCATCCATCTGCCTTTCCCTTTAAGGGGCTAAATACTGGATTTGAATCCCTTCACATTTCTTTATAGGAGAATTTTATGCAATTTTCTCACATTTTCTGACATTGTCTATGAGAAATAGAGGCATAAAACTGGACCACTAAGGGTTAATTCACACAGTTCTCTTTAATCACCAAAAATGTGCTGACTGCATATATGTGACAATGTGCTTGGCAATGTGGACTTAGGAATAGGACTGCCTTCCAAGGAGCCGGCTGACAGACACTGAAGGCATGATTAGGATTTATGAAGCACCAGCAGGCTCAGTGCAGCTAAGAGCAAGTGCTTGGAAATGATGAAGAAGAGGGACTGAAAAGCAGTAGAAAGCTCCACTGTCTGACAAAATCTGTGGCTCCTGAATTTAAATGACATCAGATTTTCATTTCCTCTTTTAAAAAAATCATGACATTAGTGGTGCTCACACAGGAAATTATAAATATTAAATTAAAAAAATTGCAAATTATAGTCTGAGAATCAGAACACGGTAAATGACAGCTGCCTTTAGTACTAATATAACCTACAATAACCTGTAGAGTTCATGTTCAGCCAAGCCAAGCCAAGAAAAGCTCTGATTGCAGCTCCCTTGACACTCTTGGGGGTCTGCAAGTTGAGGTCCCCTCAGTAAACTCTAGAAGAGGAACTGAGAGCAGAGCTTGGCCCATTAAAGGTAGAAATCTTACAGCACAGTTAAAGCAGTCTGCAGAGAACCAGCGTCCTAGAAGTTGCTTGACAGAAAGGGCTGCTCTGTGAATAGTATAAATGAGATAAACAGTCCCTTGCCTGGTTCTCACTTAGATTCGACCATCTCTGGAGATGGTTTTTAAGGTACAGGTGAAAAATAAAGTTGTAGGACCAGGAAAACGATTTTTAAAAAGTATGAGGGGCAGTGTGATGAGAAATGGGACATTCCTAGATTTTCAGCTATGGAAGATTGCAATTCTAATTTGAAAGTTACTTCCTGGGTCAGTATTAGGGTTAAAGGAAGCCAGTACTTCCCTCAAGCACACAATTTAAGGAGGCACCAAAACTACGTAATCAAAATAAGTAATATTCTAATACAATATTAAACATTGAAAATGAATACCAAAACATCCATGATGAACAGAATACCAAAAATTTAAAGACAAGAAGTGACCCTGTGTTTGCAGGTCCCTGAGAATTATAAAGGAAGGGAGCACTGTGCATATGAAATTGTGGCAACTTCCATTCAGTCTATAAAATTCTTACCAAAGAAAACGAGATCTGACCTGTTCAATGTCCTCAACTGCTTGTACACAACACTGACTTTTCTTTTCAACAACATAGGGTGGGGACCTGAGAAAGCCGTTTCAGTGACCTAAAGTCAAATAAAAATTATTTAAGATGGTCATAGAGTCACGAGATATTGTCAAACACAACAATCCTCTCAATCGAAGACAAGTAAAAGCAATTTTGAAAATATTGAGTGCTTTCATGAAAGCCAGGATAGCAGAACTATATTAAATTCTTGTTTTAGTATAAAAATGTAGATTATAAAGTTGACTACAGTTGAACAAAATTCCGTTTTAACTTTGAAATATTAAAGTACTTTTTTACTTCAACATCTAATGTTGAACTATGTCAATATTTTAAAAGGTTAATAAAGTGCTGTGCTTTCAATCTCCCCCCTCTTTCGTGTGCCCACCGCTTGAACGTTGGACGTTGCAAACCACCGTGAACGGCACAGAAACCCGTCTGTGGCGCCATCTTCCCCCACGAGACAGGCGCCCCGACCGGCTCCGGGCGCGTCCCCTGCCCGGTCCGCCGGCTCCCCGGGTTTCCGCGGCCCCCTGGCTTGCGGGTCTGTCGCGGCGTCTCGCCCAGAAACGCTCCCGATTCCGCAGAAACGCCTAAGCACGCTCTCCTCCGAGCCCCCGTCTCCTCCATTCTGTGTAAAAATGGCCTCGCCAAAGTGTCTGCGGGGAAGGAGGGCACAACACTTCCGTCCAAGTCCAGAAAACGCCAGCTTCCGGGCTCGCTCCCCGAGAAAAACGTCGCCCGCCGGACCGCGCCAAGGCTCCCAGCTCGGCACTCAGGGCCGCCGAAACGCAGGTGTCTTACTATTAAAGCAGCACGATGATGGCCCGCCAGGAGGCGACGGGCGTTTCCGTCAGGCTCCGGCGTCTGCGGCTCCCAAATCTCGGCGTCCGAAAAGCTACCCGCGCGCCCCCTGGTGGCCTGATAGGGAATCACGGTTTTCAGGGAACTATCGAAGGACACTGGGCCCTAACTGGTTAGCGGTGCTCGCGCGCCCCCTGGCAGCCGTCTGGTAAATCGCTGAATCTCTGTGGCCCAGATCTATTTGCTCGTGGCCGGAGTGATGCTCTGCTGCATCCCTACCTGCTCTCCTGGCTCGGTCTTGCCTTGGTACCATAGCCTAGAAAACAGGGAACTCTTCAAACTTCTGCAACAACTGAAAAGTATTCCCTCTCAGTCCTGCCTAAATGACAGAACCGACTTCAAATTCCCTTGGAAAAGAGGGACTATCACTCAAATACGGATGACACAAGGCATTTGCTTCCACCATCAGATACTCCAGCAGATCTTCAACCTCTTCAGCACAAAGGAAAGCCATGCCGTTTGGAACAACGCTCTTCTCCATAAAATACTCTTCAGCCTTGATCACAGCCTGGAACAACTGCAGCACAGGGAAGAAGAAAATCTGGCCTGTCCTCACTTGGAAATTGTTGTCTGCAAATATTTCCAAGGAATCAATCTCCATCTGAAGGAAAAAGAATACAGCCCTTGTGCCTGGGAGGTTGTCAGAAGGGAAATTAAAATGTGCCTTTCTCTCATTTGACAATCCTCAAAGACAAGGAAACAAAGAATAAAGTGATACTCATGACACTCCCTAATACATTACAGTGTTTGCCAAGCCCAAAAAACAATCTCAATTTATATCTGAAACCAAAATAATGGTTATTTAAAAAACATTGTACGTCATGAATTTACAAAACTATGCTTATAGAGAAGAGAATGACTTTCTTAAATAAATGATTTTGTAACGATTTTCTAAATCTGTTTAACTTTGGGAGGAGGTATTTCCTGTTTCTAAAGTGTGAAGTCCAATATTTCATGGAAAGGTTCTTTAGAATAGTTTTTTGTTAGAGACATTTTTCCCATAACACTAGCTGCTATAACAGAGAAATGGAAAACTAGGCATTATGTGATCATGATAGAAGTTCATCTTTCCTTTTCTTAAGAGCACAAGGCAAGCATTCCTGATTAGATGACTTGTCTGATTGGCTCTTTGCCAAACAGTGATTCAGGGCCATGGGCATCTTCTATTTTGTGACTTCACCATATTCAACATGTGACTCCAAATCTGACTGTGGCACTTGAGCCTATTCCACTCAGCTGCAAACAGAAAAAGTAAGGTGGACCACGTGGGATGTCTTCCAGGGTCCAGACTCTGCAGGTTGATACCACTTCTGCCAACATTTAATTGGCCTGAATTTATTCTCATGGGATGCCTAAGTACAAAGAAGTTGGGAAAAGACTTTAGTCAGGTGACTAATAGAAGAGGAGACAAGTTCAGTGAATAAGACCTCTTCAGTTTTACACTATTTGTACCGATGCTTTGTTGTTGGGAAAAACAACCAATGTGTACCTGCACACACTTTATTAAAAAGAAAACATGACCCAAAAATCTCATTCTACTATTTAAATGGAGAAATTCAATGGATGTGTCTTGTTAGAGTTCACGGCATCATTGACTCTTTCAAAGCAGCATTCAAATTGATTCCCAAAGGTGAAGGCCAAAGTTGGAAAATGGCCGCAAGTGTGCAGATGAGGTCTTGGAACACATGGTAGAGTTTAAATTGTTTCCTTATTACCTGAGAGAAATGAGGAAAGTATGACCAGATAGGTCCTTGCAGTAGTTGAAGATCAGTGAAATAAAAGTGCAAGTGAGCCTTCTAGTTATGACCAGGCCTATGATTCTTACCCTGATCTTGAAGAAAATAACCTTGCAAATAGTTTTTTAGAAAACACCCCACAGAATATTTAATTATAACTTTCCTTGTAGAACCTTAAAGACTTTGTAAGGCATCTTTATTGTCTTCTCAAATCATAGTTATTTGGCATACACTGGTATTATTCTTTCTCCAAATATTACCATGCTTATTCTCTCCATTAACATTGATTGAGCTCCTGAAATGATAGGACTGGACTAGATGCCCAGGAAACAAGGTCACATAAGGTGATTTCTCTCCCCTTAGGCATTTTACAGACTACTGGGAGGCACTCCAAGGAGAAAATAGGTCAGGTCAGGTCTTTGTCCATTCAGCCTGTTTTCAAGAAATAGCATGGACCTAGTAGCTTGTAAGAGCAGAAATGTATCACTCATCATTCTAGAGGCTGGAAATCCAAGATCAGGGTGACAGTTTGACTGGGACCTGGTGAGAACACACTTCTGGGTCACACACTGCCAACTTCTCCTTGGATCTTCATATGGCAAAAGAGCAAGAGATCTATCTCAGGCCTCCTTTGTAAGGGCACTAATTCCATTCACGAGTGCTGTACCCTCATGCTCTAATCACTACCACTGAATACCGTGACTTTTGGGGTTAGGACTTCAACACATGACTTTTGTAGGGACACAGACATCCAGACCAAGGTCAGACACTAAAGGCTACATGCTTGGTATCTATAGAGAGAATATAACTATAATAGTAAATAAAGAATGAGCATGGTAGTGGGTAAAAACATCAAACCAAGGACTAAGAATCCAAACTCTTATTTTTTATCTGAAGTAATGCCCTAATTATTACATGCCAAATTTTGGAAATCAAACTGAAATGGAACCCACTATCCCATAGAAATGGATAGAGATAACAGGATGCAAATGATCATTCACCACCCTTTGTGAGGAGTCTCCAAAGAATCTCCAGAAAAACGTAGGTAATTGCCACTTCTGTAAAGATCCACCAAAAAGCAAGGTGGGGAATTGTCTGGTTGCTGTGAATTGTGTGAAAGAGGGAGAGTTTCAGCTGAGATACGTGATCTGTATATGACATCAGGCTAGTTGTTTTTCTGTTTTGACCAGATAGAGGGCAAATTAGAGATGAAGCCATACTTGTAAGTTTAATATAGTGCGTGGCAAAGGCTGAAACGAGCTGCTCTTGAAGTTTGAACCCGAAGCCATCCGCACCTTAAAGGAAATAAAATCCTCCTGGTTTCAGCAACAAACTCAGTAGGTATTACTGACACCAATTAAGTGTGGAAATATTGGCTGGTGTCTATCATAATCCTAGCAAATATGGCCATAATGAAGCAAAATAGCTTGGTCATGCCCGTAGGATGAGAAAAATCTAAGAAACAGCTTTAGTAAAAGTATTTACTGAGTGAGTACATGGGGCTTGGTGCTGAGAATAACACAGTGAAAAAGACAGTGACTAAAAAGCGGATTTGACAAGGATGGTCACATGCCTACCATTTCAAGAGTAGGAATGTAGAGGACTGAGACGACGTAACTTTCTATGCAAAAATAAAAAGAGTTCCGGATCAGAGCTGAATGTTAATTCCTTACATGATAATAATCCATATTAATCTAGCATGTATTTATTACAAAGATGGTTTCTTTTTGTTGGAAAAGAATAGACTTGGACTGGGACCTCTGACAGTCCTTTGGGAAATTTGAAATTCAGTGCCAAAGTACAAAGAAAAATTCAAATCGGTGGTGTTTTCTACATCTTCTATTCTTATTGGGGATGATTTTATTCCCAATGGTGCAAAAATTAGTTCTTAGGGGTCTGAACAAATCTTAGATATTACAATAGTTTGTGGTGCTCCAACAAACTGTTTCTTTCCAACAGAATCTTATTCTTTAGTAGTCATTTTTCTCATTGGGTTTTCTGGTGTTTCATATGAGAAGTAATGACACTGAGTTCATTGAAGATAAACAATTAAAAACCTGAGTCTCCATCTGTCTCTCTTTTTAAATTCTAGTAGGAGTACTCAGAGGTGTGATCCTGGATGCCATTTTTACACTTCTTAAACTACACTTCTTTAAGCTGCACTTAAATTGCACGACTTGCCTCATCCATCTGCCTTTCCCTTTAAGGGGCTAAATACTGGATTTGAATCCCTTCACATTTCTTTATAGGAGAATTTTATGCAATTTTCTCACATTTTCTGACATTGTCTATGAGAAATAGAGGCATAAAACTGGACCACTAAGGGTTAATTCACACAGTTCTCTTTAATCACCAAAAATGTGCTGACTGCATATATGTGACAATGTGCTTGGCAATGTGGACTTAGGAATAGGACTGCCTTCCAAGGAGCCGGCTGACAGACACTGAAGGCATGATTAGGATTTATGAAGCACCAGCAGGCTCAGTGCAGCTAAGAGCAAGTGCTTGGAAATGATGAAGAAGAGGGACTGAAAAGCAGTAGAAAGCTCCACTGTCTGACAAAATCTGTGGCTCCTGAATTTAAATGACATCAGATTTTCATTTCCTCTTTTAAAAAAATCATGACATTAGTGGTGCTCACACAGGAAATTATAAATATTAAATTAAAAAAATTGCAAATTATAGTCTGAGAATCAGAACACGGTAAATGACAGCTGCCTTTAGTACTAATATAACCTACAATAACCTGTAGAGTTCATGTTCAGCCAAGCCAAGCCAAGAAAAGCTCTGATTGCAGCTCCCTTGACACTCTTGGGGGTCTGCAAGTTGAGGTCCCCTCAGTAAACTCTAGAAGAGGAACTGAGAGCAGAGCTTGGCCCATTAAAGGTAGAAATCTTACAGCACAGTTAAAGCAGTCTGCAGAGAACCAGCGTCCTAGAAGTTGCTTGACAGAAAGGGCTGCTCTGTGAATAGTATAAATGAGATAAACAGTCCCTTGCCTGGTTCTCACTTAGATTCGACCATCTCTGGAGATGGTTTTTAAGGTACAGGTGAAAAATAAAGTTGTAGGACCAGGAAAACGATTTTTAAAAAGTATGAGGGGCAGTGTGATGAGAAATGGGACATTCCTAGATTTTCAGCTATGGAAGATTGCAATTCTAATTTGAAAGTTACTTCCTGGGTCAGTATTAGGGTTAAAGGAAGCCAGTACTTCCCTCAAGCACACAATTTAAGGAGGCACCAAAACTACGTAATCAAAATAAGTAATATTCTAATACAATATTAAACATTGAAAATGAATACCAAAACATCCATGATGAACAGAATACCAAAAATTTAAAGACAAGAAGTGACCCTGTGTTTGCAGGTCCCTGAGAATTATAAAGGAAGGGAGCACTGTGCATATGAAATTGTGGCAACTTCCATTCAGTCTATAAAATTCTTACCAAAGAAAACGAGATCTGACCTGTTCAATGTCCTCAACTGCTTGTACACAACACTGACTTTTCTTTTCAACAACATAGGGTGGGGACCTGAGAAAGCCGTTTCAGTGACCTAAAGTCAAATAAAAATTATTTAAGATGGTCATAGAGTCACGAGATATTGTCAAACACAACAATCCTCTCAATCGAAGACAAGTAAAAGCAATTTTGAAAATATTGAGTGCTTTCATGAAAGCCAGGATAGCAGAACTATATTAAATTCTTGTTTTAGTATAAAAATGTAGATTATAAAGTTGACTACAGTTGAACAAAATTCCGTTTTAACTTTGAAATATTAAAGTACTTTTTTACTTCAACATCTAATGTTGAACTATGTCAATATTTTAAAAGGTTAATAAAGTGCTGTGCTTTCAATCTCCCCCCTCTTTCGTGTGCCCACCGCTTGAACGTTGGACGTTGCAAACCACCGTGAACGGCACAGAAACCCGTCTGTGGCGCCATCTTCCCCCACGAGACAGGCGCCCCGACCGGCTCCGGGCGCGTCCCCTGCCCGGTCCGCCGGCTCCCCGGGTTTCCGCGGCCCCCTGGCTTGCGGGTCTGTCGCGGCGTCTCGCCCAGAAACGCTCCCGATTCCGCAGAAACGCCTAAGCACGCTCTCCTCCGAGCCCCCGTCTCCTCCATTCTGTGTAAAAATGGCCTCGCCAAAGTGTCTGCGGGGAAGGAGGGCACAACACTTCCGTCCAAGTCCAGAAAACGCCAGCTTCCGGGCTCGCTCCCCGAGAAAAACGTCGCCCGCCGGACCGCGCCAAGGCTCCCAGCTCGGCACTCAGGGCCGCCGAAACGCAGGTGTCTTACTATTAAAGCAGCACGATGATGGCCCGCCAGGAGGCGACGGGCGTTTCCGTCAGGCTCCGGCGTCTGCGGCTCCCAAATCTCGGCGTCCGAAAAGCTACCCGCGCGCCCCCTGGTGGCCTGATAGGGAATCACGGTTTTCAGGGAACTATCGAAGGACACTGGGCCCTAACTGGTTAGCGGTGCTCGCGCGCCCCCTGGCAGCCGTCTGGTAAATCGCTGAATCTCTGTGGCCCAGATCTATTTGCTCGTGGCCGGAGTGATGCTCTGCTGCATCCCTACCTGCTCTCCTGGCTCGGTCTTGCCTTGGTACCATAGCCTAGAAAACAGGGAACTCTTCAAACTTCTGCAACAACTGAAAAGTATTCCCTCTCAGTCCTGCCTAAATGACAGAACCGACTTCAAATTCCCTTGGAAAAGAGGGACTATCACTCAAATACGGATGACACAAGGCATTTGCTTCCACCATCAGATACTCCAGCAGATCTTCAACCTCTTCAGCACAAAGGAAAGCCATGCCGTTTGGAACAACGCTCTTCTCCATAAAATACTCTTCAGCCTTGATCACAGCCTGGAACAACTGCAGCACAGGGAAGAAGAAAATCTGGCCTGTCCTCACTTGGAAATTGTTGTCTGCAAATATTTCCAAGGAATCAATCTCCATCTGAAGGAAAAAGAATACAGCCCTTGTGCCTGGGAGGTTGTCAGAAGGGAAATTAAAATGTGCCTTTCTCTCATTTGACAATCCTCAAAGACAAGGAAACAAAGAATAAAGTGATACTCATGACACTCCCTAATACATTACAGTGTTTGCCAAGCCCAAAAAACAATCTCAATTTATATCTGAAACCAAAATAATGGTTATTTAAAAAACATTGTACGTCATGAATTTACAAAACTATGCTTATAGAGAAGAGAATGACTTTCTTAAATAAATGATTTTGTAACGATTTTCTAAATCTGTTTAACTTTGGGAGGAGGTATTTCCTGTTTCTAAAGTGTGAAGTCCAATATTTCATGGAAAGGTTCTTTAGAATAGTTTTTTGTTAGAGACATTTTTCCCATAACACTAGCTGCTATAACAGAGAAATGGAAAACTAGGCATTATGTGATCATGATAGAAGTTCATCTTTCCTTTTCTTAAGAGCACAAGGCAAGCATTCCTGATTAGATGACTTGTCTGATTGGCTCTTTGCCAAACAGTGATTCAGGGCCATGGGCATCTTCTATTTTGTGACTTCACCATATTCAACATGTGACTCCAAATCTGACTGTGGCACTTGAGCCTATTCCACTCAGCTGCAAACAGAAAAAGTAAGGTGGACCACGTGGGATGTCTTCCAGGGTCCAGACTCTGCAGGTTGATACCACTTCTGCCAACATTTAATTGGCCTGAATTTATTCTCATGGGATGCCTAAGTACAAAGAAGTTGGGAAAAGACTTTAGTCAGGTGACTAATAGAAGAGGAGACAAGTTCAGTGAATAAGACCTCTTCAGTTTTACACTATTTGTACCGATGCTTTGTTGTTGGGAAAAACAACCAATGTGTACCTGCACACACTTTATTAAAAAGAAAACATGACCCAAAAATCTCATTCTACTATTTAAATGGAGAAATTCAATGGATGTGTCTTGTTAGAGTTCACGGCATCATTGACTCTTTCAAAGCAGCATTCAAATTGATTCCCAAAGGTGAAGGCCAAAGTTGGAAAATGGCCGCAAGTGTGCAGATGAGGTCTTGGAACACATGGTAGAGTTTAAATTGTTTCCTTATTACCTGAGAGAAATGAGGAAAGTATGACCAGATAGGTCCTTGCAGTAGTTGAAGATCAGTGAAATAAAAGTGCAAGTGAGCCTTCTAGTTATGACCAGGCCTATGATTCTTACCCTGATCTTGAAGAAAATAACCTTGCAAATAGTTTTTTAGAAAACACCCCACAGAATATTTAATTATAACTTTCCTTGTAGAACCTTAAAGACTTTGTAAGGCATCTTTATTGTCTTCTCAAATCATAGTTATTTGGCATACACTGGTATTATTCTTTCTCCAAATATTACCATGCTTATTCTCTCCATTAACATTGATTGAGCTCCTGAAATGATAGGACTGGACTAGATGCCCAGGAAACAAGGTCACATAAGGTGATTTCTCTCCCCTTAGGCATTTTACAGACTACTGGGAGGCACTCCAAGGAGAAAATAGGTCAGGTCAGGTCTTTGTCCATTCAGCCTGTTTTCAAGAAATAGCATGGACCTAGTAGCTTGTAAGAGCAGAAATGTATCACTCATCATTCTAGAGGCTGGAAATCCAAGATCAGGGTGACAGTTTGACTGGGACCTGGTGAGAACACACTTCTGGGTCACACACTGCCAACTTCTCCTTGGATCTTCATATGGCAAAAGAGCAAGAGATCTATCTCAGGCCTCCTTTGTAAGGGCACTAATTCCATTCACGAGTGCTGTACCCTCATGCTCTAATCACTACCACTGAATACCGTGACTTTTGGGGTTAGGACTTCAACACATGACTTTTGTAGGGACACAGACATCCAGACCAAGGTCAGACACTAAAGGCTACATGCTTGGTATCTATAGAGAGAATATAACTATAATAGTAAATAAAGAATGAGCATGGTAGTGGGTAAAAACATCAAACCAAGGACTAAGAATCCAAACTCTTATTTTTTATCTGAAGTAATGCCCTAATTATTACATGCCAAATTTTGGAAATCAAACTGAAATGGAACCCACTATCCCATAGAAATGGATAGAGATAACAGGATGCAAATGATCATTCACCACCCTTTGTGAGGAGTCTCCAAAGAATCTCCAGAAAAACGTAGGTAATTGCCACTTCTGTAAAGATCCACCAAAAAGCAAGGTGGGGAATTGTCTGGTTGCTGTGAATTGTGTGAAAGAGGGAGAGTTTCAGCTGAGATACGTGATCTGTATATGACATCAGGCTAGTTGTTTTTCTGTTTTGACCAGATAGAGGGCAAATTAGAGATGAAGCCATACTTGTAAGTTTAATATAGTGCGTGGCAAAGGCTGAAACGAGCTGCTCTTGAAGTTTGAACCCGAAGCCATCCGCACCTTAAAGGAAATAAAATCCTCCTGGTTTCAGCAACAAACTCAGTAGGTATTACTGACACCAATTAAGTGTGGAAATATTGGCTGGTGTCTATCATAATCCTAGCAAATATGGCCATAATGAAGCAAAATAGCTTGGTCATGCCCGTAGGATGAGAAAAATCTAAGAAACAGCTTTAGTAAAAGTATTTACTGAGTGAGTACATGGGGCTTGGTGCTGAGAATAACACAGTGAAAAAGACAGTGACTAAAAAGCGGATTTGACAAGGATGGTCACATGCCTACCATTTCAAGAGTAGGAATGTAGAGGACTGAGACGACGTAACTTTCTATGCAAAAATAAAAAGAGTTCCGGATCAGAGCTGAATGTTAATTCCTTACATGATAATAATCCATATTAATCTAGCATGTATTTATTACAAAGATGGTTTCTTTTTGTTGGAAAAGAATAGACTTGGACTGGGACCTCTGACAGTCCTTTGGGAAATTTGAAATTCAGTGCCAAAGTACAAAGAAAAATTCAAATCGGTGGTGTTTTCTACATCTTCTATTCTTATTGGGGATGATTTTATTCCCAATGGTGCAAAAATTAGTTCTTAGGGGTCTGAACAAATCTTAGATATTACAATAGTTTGTGGTGCTCCAACAAACTGTTTCTTTCCAACAGAATCTTATTCTTTAGTAGTCATTTTTCTCATTGGGTTTTCTGGTGTTTCATATGAGAAGTAATGACACTGAGTTCATTGAAGATAAACAATCTGTATGGAAGTCAGTGCTGCTATCCTGTGGTAACTTGATGACTCACGGGATGGCTTCCCATCATTTTGCTTGAATCAAAATCATATTGTAAAAGGTGGTCTTTGCTTACTTATGAGTTGCCTTTGCCTGCCTTATGGATGCTGCTTATGCTTGAACCTCAGGTGCGGGCTTTGAGAGTTACGTGCAAATAGAAACTTTATTATTTACTTCTACTAAGATTATTCAATACATCAATGATTATGTCAAGTGCTAAAAAGAAAAAAAGTGTTGACAATATCTTAATGAATATCTAGCAGCTAGTGAAGTTTAAAACCGCTTTCTAATATGAAGCAAAATTAAAAGTTAAGGACCTAAAAATAAATGTTAAAAAAATAAGTTAATTTTTCAGTGGTTCCTAGCAGTTTTGAATAATTATAAGTGTATCTGTATGTTGGTATTATTATGAAGTATTTATATAAACTTTTATTTGAATATGTAGTATGGATATTTACTATTTATATAAGTAAATACAGTACATTAAAAGTCCTTCTGCAAATTAGTTGTAAAGTTAAATGAAATGTCAATAGCTTTTAAATTTAACAGTACCTTAAAATTTTTTGTCATTCTTAACCCTGCATTGAAAAAAACGAGTAGTTTTGTACTTTCTTTTTCTATGAATAAAGTACACATTTATATAGAATCTAAGAAGGTATACCGGTTATCTGTATCATCAAATTTCATGGGGGGTTCAATTAGGAAAAAGAAATATCTAAAAAGGCTCTGTGGGAAGGGGAAAGAGGCAATAATGCAAAAGAAAAACGATTGAGAAATGTGGCTCTACCCCATTTGGAAAATGCAAAATGGAAAGCAAAAACAGAAGTAGAAAGCAAGGGAAACACACAGAAATTGAAAACTTAGCATGTTCCCTATTTAAGACACACACGAAGGAAGGTCCGCAGAGAACCTAGAGCCCAGCTCACAGTCGCCCCCTCAGCCAGGCCAGCAGCATCTGCAAGATCCCCATGGCCCTGCCCTTTCCCTTCCCGCTGGCCCTGCTGGTGCTCAGCTGCAACTCCATCTGCTCCCTGGCGTGTGACCTGCCTGAGACCCACAGCCTGGGTGACAGGAGGGCCTTGGCGCTCCTGGAACAGATGAGGAGAATCTCCCTTTTGTCCTGCCTGCGGGACAGAAAGGACTTCGGATTCCCCCAGGAGGTGTTTGATGGCAACCAGCTGCAGAAGGCTCAAGCCATCTCTGTGGTCCACGAGATGATCCAGCAGACCTTCCGCCTCTTCAGCACGGAGAGCGCCTCTGCTGCCTGGGATAAGACCCTCCTACACAAATTCTGCAATGGACTTTATCAGCAGCTGAGTGACCTGAGAGCCTGTGTGATGCCCGAGGTGGGGGCGGAAGAGGCTCCGCGGACCGATGAGGACGACTCCATCCTGGCTGTGAGGAGATACTTCGAAAGAATCACTCTCTACCTGCAAGAGAAGAAATACAGCCCTTGTGCCTGGGAGGTTGTCAGAGCAGAAATCATGAGATCCTTCCCTTGATCAACTTGCAAGAAAGATTGAGGAGTAGAGGAGGAGACCTGGCTCAACATGGAAATGGTTCTCACTGACCAGTAATACCCCACTTCGCTGCATTCTGCCCTGACAAAGACGCTTATTTCTGCTGTAATCATGACATGATTCGAATCCATTTGTCAAATGTTTTCAGGACTGTTAAGTAACGTGTTCAACTCTGTAGGTGCTAGTAGTTGCTTACAGATGACCATGCTGATCTATTTATTTAAATATTTATTTATCTATTTATAATAATTATCTATTTTTATATTATATGTACCTTTACATTGTGCTTAAGAGAAAATACATCCTTTATAGTAAATCAATTTTATTATTTTCTTTGTTCATTAAATTTGTTCTATGCAAACTCTGGTATTTGTTTATTATTTTTTCAGAAAACCCACCAAGTCTGATGGTAACCTGATATAAGAATGGATTGTACAATTCATTTTTTCATTATTATGTTCTTTTAGTTGTAAGTAAAAATAGACTTTCTCTAGGTCAGGTTGTATGTTACCCTCAGGGGATGTTAATGTATCCAATCCAATCCTGCTTTCTTGTGTCTTTGTTTTTCTGTAGGGAAACGAATCTAAAAACAATAATTACACTTAAGTAATATGAGTTACGTTAAATGATATAATGAGAAGGGGAAAAATGGAATATTCTCAGTGGAAACTGGAGCAAGGCATGTCAGGAAATAAAAACAAAAGCAGTAGATATCCTGTACATTTGACTTGTAGATATCCAAGTGCAAATAACCTTTAGAAAATGGGTATTTGAAACTGAAGTTCATAAGCAATTCCATGAACTGAAAGTCTAAGAACAGAAGTGGTCACATGGGAAGAGAGTGTAGGATATGAAAAGGACTTGAAATTGGTTCCTTAGGACCTTGGACTGGTAGAGGGCGGAAAGAGCCACAAAGGAAACAGAGGTGGTATGGCCCTAAGTTAACAGGATAAGAGAGAATTACAATAAGAGCCTATTTAAGAAACTAAAATTGCTTTGAAGAGTTGCATCATTGCAAAGTGTGGATTGAAACTGTCCATTCCATGGGCGAAGTGAGCCCTGGTGACTTGGTGGGAGCTGGTTTGGTAGAACAAATCATCTGAAACCATATTAGAGTAGCAGGAAGGGTGAATAAGAGACGTTCAGTGACTTAATATATAGAAAACAGTTTTGAGAAGTTTGCCTTTCAACACGCAGTAGAGAAATAGCATAGGAATTGGAAAAGAACATGAATTTTTTTTCTTCAGAGTGTTTCAGATTTAGAAATACACTTTACTTGGATAGATCCATGCATTTGATGTATTGGCAAATGATGTTAATATGTTTAATAGTTTCTTTTACATCATGACATAGTAGCTTATTCATTTTACATCATGACATATTTAATTATAATGATAATTCATCTTTATTTTGATGGATACTATGTTGAGTCTCAGAAAGCAGCTCTGTGGATGGAAACCATCCACTACATGGGGAAATAGGTGGAACTGACCTTAGTGAGAGCTGGTTTGATGGACTTAATAAGCAGAAACCATACTGGAATAGGTGGAAGGTGATCAGAGAGGAGAACTCCCATTGTTATTTTTCCACCTGGGAAAAATTTCACTTTGCTTCTTTCATTTTCATCACAGTTAGATTTGTATTTGTTTTCCTTTTGCCTCAGTGCATCTATGTGCAATGACAGTGTTCTAAGAAAGTTGAATGGAGAAATTAAAAAATGATGCATTGAAAATTATGGAATATAATGGTACAGGCCCATTACTTTTCCATTTTTACTTCCCTATTTTAGTAGTAACCTCAAGATGACATAAAACATAATTCAGAAGCAGCAAGACAACACTTGCCCAGAAAAATATTAAAGTAAAACAAATACATAACATTTTAAAGACTCGGAAACTAGTAAAGCAAAGAAAACTAGTCTCTTGCATCATATGCTGATCTCACTGCCCTACATTTCCATTGTGACACAGAGAGTGATGAGCCAGGGGGCTTCCCAGAAGGGTGCTGACTGAGTTATCGCAGGACGGTTACTGATTACTTGAATAAAGCTTCTAATGGGAGTTAAGTCTTCACTGAAATTATTGAAAGTATTTTTGTATTTCCCTTGGATTTCTATGTCACCCCATGAGTTATTTTAAAGTGTTATTTAATTTCTAAATGTTTGGGGAATTTTCAGATATCTTTCTGGTATTGATCTCTAATTTTTTTCCATTAAAAATATTCTACTATTTCGGTTCTTTTAATGATATATAGCACGTGATCTATATTCATGGCTGTCCCAAAGATACCTGAAAATAGTATATATGTGAGCTTTAGATAGAGTGTTGTAAAAATGTCAGTTGGTTTAAGCTGGCTTTTATTGTTTCTCAATTATTTTATATCTTTATTGATTTTGATTCTGCTCATTCAATCATTTACTGAAAGGGAATGCTGATATCTCCAGCTGTAATTGTGAATTTGTGTATTTATTCTTTCAGTCTTGTTAGTTTTTGTCCATGTATTTTGATTCTCTGTTACTGGATACATATAAATTAGAATTATCTTTATAATAAACCAATCATTTCATAGATATTATAGCTCTGTCTTTATGCCCAGTAATATTTCTTTTTCTCAAGTATGAGATGTCTAATATCAATAAAGTCATCATCAGCTTTCTAATAAGTAGTGTGTCTGTGGTATAATTTTTTCCATCTTTTAATTTTAATAATTGCTTAAAAATTTTTTTATATATAAAGTATATATATATATAGTTTTTATATTTAAAGTAGGTTTCTTACAGATTGCAGAAAGATGGGTCTTGTTTTTGTTTATTGGTGGTTTTTGTTTTTATTTATTTTTTGTCTACGCTTCTTTTTGTCTCTCTTCTTAGCTGGAAAGTTTAGACCATCTGCACTTAGTCTAATTATGGATATGTGTATGTGAAAGTTTCCATGTTGCTATTTTGTTGTTTGTTCCTGTGGCTCTTTGTTCCCTTTCTTAATTTCCTACTTTGTCTTGGATGAGTTGTCATTTTTTAGATTCCGTTTTATCTCCATTATTGGCTTATTAGCTATTCCTTTTTGTTTATATTTTAACTGTTTTACCATACACTGTTTCAAATCATCACTGCCTTTTGTATAGCTTTCCATATATTGTAAGAATCTTAAACTAGTATGCTTCATTTGTCACCCTCCCATCCTTGGCTATGTATGTTGGGTGATTGTGTCACACCTATTATTACTACACGTGCTTTAAACTGCTAGGTACATTTTTATTGTTTTTGTGCTAAACAGTCCAGTAGTTTTTATTATTCATGTAGCTCTAAGTTTCCATCTGGTATTATTTTCTCCTTTGCTTGAAGAATGTCTTTTCACAATTCTTATAGTACAAATCTAATCAGGATGATGCACTCAGCTTCTGTTTCCCTGAAAAAGCATTTTGCCTATAATTTGAAGAATATAGCTGTTGGATACAAAATTCCAGGTTAATTTTTTCCCCTCAGTTTTTAAACATGCCATTTAATTAACACTTAGTTTGTGCAATTTCTGATGAGATGTTCAAAAGTATTCTATCTTTCTTTGTATATCATCTGCTTTTGGCATATCACTACCTTAATGGTTTTATCACTTGTTCGTAGCAATTTTATACTGATGTGCTTTACTCTGATTTTGTGTGTGTGTATGCTATTTGGGGTTCACTGAGCTTCTTGTATCCATAGGTTTATTGTTTTAACCTAACTGGGAAAATCAGCTGCCACTATGTCTTCAAATATCTTGGTTGACGCTTCTCACTCCTCTCCTTTGGCACTTCAAGGATCTGCGAGTCATTCCATTCCACGCCACCTCTTAGAGTCTGCTGATGTGCCTCTAAGGTTACTGATCTTTACAGCCATACTTGAACTTTCATTTCCGTTATTATATTTTTCATCTCTAGAAGTTCATATTGGTTTTATTTATGTCTTCCATTTCTTTCCTTCACTATACCTCCAGGAAGAAAGTCATATTAATTGTTGAGCTCAAGGAGATGTTTTGTCTCAGCATCACAACCTGTTTTTAGTTGTTTATGGTAATAGGACATGTTCAAGCTGTCTTAATACATCAAGACTGAAACCTGTACTGTACTAACCCTTTCCAAAATCTAATCTATATTAGTTGTTATTCTTTCAGGATTTTATTTTCATCTATCATGTGATATGAGAACTTACACTGGTTTCTGCTTCATTTCCCAGGTAATCATAGTAGAATCATTTTATTGAAAGTTAATACCACCATTGGGACATCAGATACATCTTTTATCCTAAATCTGTTCCTGACAATACACTTTTAAGAATTAAGTGTTTTCGTAATCTGGTTACCTAATTTTCTCCTTGTTACATTGCATTTCTGTTATTATAAAACACATCTTATTTTTGTGTAGAGATTGACACGCCAAGACTTCTCTGTTACTTCCTTTTTATATGACTAAATTAATATTTTATCTACTGTAGGGCAATGATTTCAGAAGAATCAAAAGCTCTTAGGGCTTGATAAATACTCAATTTGCAATGAATATAATAGCCAGGGATACTGCATTCATAAGATGAAAAAAATGAAACTGAATCAGAAAATTTCTCTTTCCCAGTGTTTAAAGTAAAGAACACAATTAGGTGAAAACCAATAAAAGACATAAAATCATCAATAGAAGACAAAGAGCAAAAAAGTTGGTAATTCTGGGATTAAGATGTATAAGAACTTCAGAAGATGAAGCTTAAATAATTATTAATAATGTGGTATCATTGATATGCATTGTATGCAGATTCTGCCAGGATGTAGATGTTTGATCCTGAGTAATTCACTTAACCTCTCTGCACCTCAATTTTCCCAAATGTCAAGTAAGGTTAGAAATATTCCTAGAATTGTTGTGAGTATTAAATAAACTAGAACATTTAAAAGGACTTGGCAGAGTATATACTCCATTGAGGACTAAACAGATGGTAACTATTTTTATGGACCTATAGAAGAATAGTGAACACTCCTGTCCCTCTGCATAACTGAGAGAAAAATGCTGACAGTCTAAAAAACATATCTAGAAAGTGTCCTGAAGACTCAAAATTATACACACTTGATATCAAGGAAAAGTAGTCTGACTTTTATATTCAATTAGAAATTGAAGGCTTGCAAATTATCTGATGCAGAGATTAGTTTCCTAAACTGAAGTTGAAAAAAATAAACATATTTTAGTAATATGTAGTATATAATGTATGATAGTATGTATTATAGTATACAACATCTTAAATATACACACATACACATGACATTCATTTTCTGATTCTGATACCTGGTACATTTCCCGCTTCCTCCCTGTTGCCTGAATCCCTTTCTCTCACTCCCATCCCACAGTTATTTTCTTCTTGCCCACTGCAGAAATCACCAGCGTGCTTTCCTCATTAACCTGTAACTGCCCATTCATACAGCTGTTTCCTTTTCCATTATAGTTTCTGGCTGTCAGTTTCCCCTTTAGAGTACAAAGCCACTACTCGAAAGCAGAAGTTGAGTGAAAGTTCTAGGTTTTGAAAAACTCTCATAGGAGAGGCCTTTTTTCCCCTTCCCTGTGAATATTTATGGAAACAAAAGAATGTCCCTGTTGCAATGATGTAACAATAGCTGTATCTAAAAGAGAATAGGAAGCAGGATCCATTTTGCTCTGTGGACTATTAAAATAGTAATAAAGGAGAAGTGCCACCTACTGGCCAAGATGGACAAAGACAAGGACCAAGTGTGGATGGAGACCTGGCTTCTCCAGCAGGTCTGTCGCCTAACAGAAGATTTTCCTCCAGAGCTAAAAAAAAGGGCTCTTCCTTGGAAAGAACTGACTCTAATAGTGTAAGAAACCCATTTCCTTAGCTTCTATATGTTTTTTAAAAATATACTTTTTAAAAAGAGCAGTTAGATTTACAACAACGTTGAGCAGAAGGTAAAGAGACTTCCCATATATGCCCAGCTTCTATACATGCAATTATCCCTATTATCAACATTCCCCACCACATTGAACATTTGCTACAATTGCTTCCAAGGGTGTGAAAATTAGTTCTTAATGTTGTGAACACGTCTTAACTGTTACAATGGTTTGAGGTGCTCAATCCTTGTCTAACAAAACCTTATTCCTTAGTATTAATTTTCTCTCATTGGGTTTTCTGGTGTATCACACAAGAAGCACTGACATTAAATTCATAGAAGATAGACACAAAATGGATGCAGGACCAGTGCTACACACCTAATGATTGGAAGACTGCCTCTCCACGGTTTCCTGGATCTCAGAGTCTTGCTGTGAGAGGTCACTTCTGCATTCTTACAGCTGCCATTGGTTGTCTTGTGGATGCTGCTTATGTTTGAGCCTCAGTGCGATGTGGGCTTTGGGAATAAAACACAAATAGATTATATTTTATGATTTAATTCCACTGAAATTATGCATCACATCAGTAATTATGTCTAATGCTAAGCAGAAAAAAAATGTTGACTGTTATCTTGGTGAATATCTAGCAGCTAGTGAAGTTAAAAATTCCTCTCTCATCTGAGGCAAACTAAAATTCAGTCCACTAAAAATAAGTGTTAAAATAATGTTTTCAATTGCCTTTAGCAGTTTTAATTCTTTTAAGTACTTCATTACATTGAAATTATTGCTATGTATTTTTAGAAATTTAAAATTTATATATGTAAATTTATGTGCTAAAATTTAAATAAGTAGATATTATAAAGCGGTCATCAAATTTAGGTATGAGTGTCAAAAACTTTAAAATTTAAGTTTTAGCTTAAGATTTTAGTCATTCTTAACCCTATCAAATAAAGAGAGTAACTTTACATTGTCTTCTTTATGTATAAAGCACAGGTATAAATACAGTACCTAAACACACACACACATACACACACACACACACACACACAGAGTATATATGTGTATTAAGTTTTCTCGGGGGTTCAATTAGGAAAACATCTAAAAAGACTCTCGAGGCAGGGGGCAATAATGAAAAAATATGGTTGGGACACACTGCATGTAGAAAGTACATAAAGGAAAGCAAAAACAGAAGTAGAAAGCAAGGGACACATACAGAAATTGAAAACTTAGCATGTTCCCTATTTAAGACACACACGAAGGAAGGTCCGCAGAGAACCTAGAGCCCAGCTCACAGTCGCCCCCTCAGCCAGGCCAGCAGCATCTGCAAGATCCCCATGGCCCTGCCCTTTCCCTTCCCGCTGGCCCTGCTGGTGCTCAGCTGCAACTCCATCTGCTCCCTGGCGTGTGACCTGCCTGAGACCCACAGCCTGGGTGACAGGAGGGCCTTGGCGCTCCTGGAACAGATGAGGAGAATCTCCCTTTTGTCCTGCCTGCGGGACAGAAAGGACTTCGGATTCCCCCAGGAGGTGTTTGATGGCAACCAGCTGCAGAAGGCTCAAGCCATCTCTGTGGTCCACGAGATGATCCAGCAGACCTTCCGCCTCTTCAGCACGGAGAGCGCCTCTGCTGCCTGGGATAAGACCCTCCTACACAAATTCTGCAATGGACTTTATCAGCAGCTGAGTGACCTGAGAGCCTGTGTGATGCCCGAGGTGGGGGCGGAAGAGGCTCCGCGGACCGATGAGGACGACTCCATCCTGGCTGTGAGGAGATACTTCGAAAGAATCACTCTCTACCTGCAAGAGAAGAAATACAGCCCTTGTGCCTGGGAGGTTGTCAGAGCAGAAATCATGAGATCCTTCCCTTGATCAAGGAACTTGCAAGAAAGATTGAGGAGTAACTGGCTCAACATGGAAATGGTTCTCACTAATAATACCCCACTTTGCCACGTTCTGCCCTGACAAAGACGCTCAATTGTGATTTACTCATGACACAACTCGAATCAATTTGTCAAATGTTTTCAAGACTATTAAGTAACATGATGTTCAACTCCATTGGCACTACTGCAGGGCTTACAGATGACCATGCTGATGCCTATTTATCTATTTAAATATTTATTTCACTATTTATGTTTTAAGTTATTTTTGTTCATTTAATATCATGTACAACTTTACATTGTGGTAATATAATAAAATAGTTTCTTTATACTTAATCAATTTATTGGATTTTTTTGTTAACTTGACTTTTACTATAGAAAGAGTCTTGTACTTGTTCATTCTTTAAAAAGATACACCAAGTCTGGTTGTGTAAATGATTAAAAATGAATGGCACAATTCAGTCACCCATTATGTTATATTCAAATTATAAGTAACAATTGACTTCTTCAGAGCCAGTTTTGTGTTGTCTCAGGATATAGAGGAAATGTAATACAGTTCCTGCTCTCTTGTATCATTGACTTTTGTAAGGAAACAAATCTAAAAACAATAATCTTAATACTTAATGTTATTATGAAGATGGAAAAATAAATGAATTCTCTTACCAGAAACTAGAAAGAAAAATGTTAGGAAATAAAATTTAAAGCAGTAGATATCCTCTACAGTTGACTGGCAGAAACCTAAGCACAATGGCCATTGTCAGTTGGATATTTGAGTTTTTAATTTACAAGAAATGCCAGTGCTAGAGGTCCATATCTGGCAACTGAAAGCCAGAAATGGAGGTGGTCATGTGCAGAGACGGTGTAGAGTAAGAAACAGTCTTTAACTTGATTCTGAGGATCTTCAACCTTGAAAGGGATGGGAGAGAAGAACCATAGAGAAAAGACGTGGAATGGCCATCTATTAGAAGGACCGCAACAGAGAATGGTGGTAAGAGTATACTTACTTAAAAAAGTAAATGTGCTTAGAAGAACATCAGTGGATTAATGGAAGATGTGTGTTGAAACTGTCCACTACATCAGGAAAACACATGGCATTGGTGACCTTAATGAGAATTGGTTTGGTGGAATTAATCTAGGAAATAATGTGGGTTAGTTTTTCTGTGTTTTCCCATGTATGGTGTATATTTTTTTCTGGATGATCTCATGGGATTGATGTACTGGCAAATCATATTAATGTATTTAATGCTGTATTTATTTTTTAAGTATATTTTTGTTATTGAAGTATAGTTTATATACAGTATTATATTGGTTTCAAGTACACAACACAGTGATTCAACAATTATACACATTATTAAACCCTTATCCCATTAGTGCAGTTGCTATCTGTCAACACAGAAAGATGTTACAGAATCATTGACTATGTTCTCCATGCTGTACTTCTTTCCCTGTAACCATCTTTTGTGATTGAGTCTTTTGTGCCTCTTTACACCCCTCATCCTTCCCACCCATCCATCCCAACCCCTACCCTATGGTAACCACCAGTCACTTCTCAGTGTCTGTGAGTCTATTGCTATTTTGTTCATTTTGTTTCTAGATTCCACATGTAAATCAAATCATATGGTATTTGTCTTTCTCCATCTGGCTTATTTCACTTAGCATAATACCCCCTAGGGCCATCCATGTTGTCACAAATGGCAGGATTTCTTTACTTTTACAGCTGAATAATATTCCACTATGTATCTCTATCACATCTTCTTTATCCATTCATTTACTGATGGAGACTTTGGTTGCTTCCATATCTTGGATATTGTAAATAATGCAGCAATAAACAAAGGGGTGCATATATCTTTTTCTGCATGGACATGTGTGAAATATTGAGCAACTCAGTTAATATTTCCAATCCTCAGTTTTCCCATAAATAAGACAGGAAATATTTATTCAAATATTGTTTTCAAAAACATTTATAAAGTGACTATTAAATGAATTCAGGCACTTTAAGGCACTTAGCATTGCATCGTCTATAGAGTAAGAACTTAAAATATGGTAGGCATTTCCCTATTTTTCTTCAGATAGTTATATATGAGAGTATTATTTGTTTCTCTATAAAATTCTTAGTAACTGTGTCCCATGTCCCACCTTTCAGTAACTGACCTCTGCAGCCTAAAAAAGCAGAGTTCTGCCATGGATTCTAGAGAAGGCTGAAAAATTGTCATTCCTCCTTTCAAATAAGTGTTTTATTTATATTTAGTGATGAGTAGTAGCTTGTATTGATATCTGGAAGAAGGCAATAGATACCTAGATGGCAGTGCAGAAGAACAGGATATTTATTTAATATTCTGGTACCTGGCCCATTCCCTTCCTCCCTTTCAGCATTCCAGGATACATTCCCATATCATAACAGTTTCCCACCTCTCTGAGATAGAAATCCCCACAGCATCCTTGTCATTCACTCTTTTTTATCTCAGCTCATTCACCAGCTGCTTTCTGTTCTGTTGTGGTTTCTGCCTAAAGGTTTCCCTAAAGAGCAGAACATTGTAAGTAGAAAGCAAAATTAAATAAGTGTCCGGGTTTTGCAGAAATGTCTGCAAGACAGGCTTTCCTTGATTTCTGTGGAATGTGATGTAACAGTATCTGTAGCTAAGAGGAAAGGGAAAGCCAGATCCCATCTATGGGCTGGAAGCTCCTCTCAGGGAAAACAACCCCCAGGTGGCTAAATACAACAAGCACAGCCACCAAGACAGGGCAGGCTTCTGATGTATGCGGAAACCCTACCACTTCCTGGGGATGTCCTTTTATGCTACAAAGGCTATTTGGCAACAAGAGATTCTAATGCTGCATAAGCCTGTTGGCTTGCCCTTTGTCTATTAGGAAGATAAAAAGTCTCCACTTCTCCCTTGCTGTAGGGAGGGCATGGATTCTCTGGGATCGGGCAGTTAAAGGAACAGAGAAAGATGTGCTTCCTGCCTAGCACCTACTATGCAGACCAGAGCCGCTCTATGAATCATCCCTTCTGCATAACACAGGACAGGCAGAGATGCCAATGAGATTATACAACTCAGTGATAGTCAGGAGAATGTCACGTTTAAGAATACAAGAAACAACTCTCAATGGTACAATTTTAGTTTCACAGATTTACTCCTAATATCAAAATTCAGCTATTATTAAATAGAAAAATAAATCACACTGTCACTTTGAATAACAATCTTGACCTCTCTTTTACTCATAAACTCTGCCTAAGTAGCAAAACAGGAAAGTCTGATATAAGCTAGGGAATGGGAATGAATAATATCATCATTACCTGGGAGCTAGTGATGTTGGGAATAATTTGAGAGGAAGTTTGGTAACTAGCACAATATTTTCAGTGAGGTAGTTCATCAGGAAGTGTATGTGAATTGCTAAGGCAGCAGGGAGGGCCTGCAACTGCAGAGGGGTCCCAATCTTTTCCTTAGTTTATATGCTAAGCATTTAGATTTGCTGCTCTCTGACTAGGGGTGGGCCAGGGCCTTAGTTAAATTTCAACAGAATCTTGTCCTTTGCTGTCTTGCTTGATGGAAAAACTGAGCAGACGGACAATGCATGGAAGCATTTGGTTTTTCTCAGTTTAAGGCATTGGTTTAGGAGATGGTGGAGGCCTGGGAAGTCCAAAATCTGCAGAGTAGGCCTGCAGACAAGAAACCTTAGGAAGGTTTCAGTTCCAGTACAAAAGCAGTCTGCAGATGGCATTCCTTCTTACTCCTGAAAGTTCAGTCTTTTCCTAGAAAGGCCTTCAACTGATTGGATGAGGCCCACCCACATTATGGAGGATACTCTACTCTGTCTACTGATTTAAATGTTAGATGCCTATAATCTCATGTAAAACTTACCTTTACAGAAACATGGAGGATAATGTTTGACCAAATATCTGGATACTGGGGCCTAGCCAAGTTGACACATAAAATTAACTGTCACACTGCTCTTCCCTAGTTGAATATCCTAACATTTTTTCAAATAATATTCCTCTTCCATTGTTTGATAGCTGCTTATCTATTTTACTGAATTTTCCTTGTTTCATTTGTTTTTGGGTGAGGATATCCTGAGATGAGGATTCATTCGGTCACCTTGCCAGGAAAATCTCTGTAGCTATGTCCTGTTTTATATGAAGAAGTTAGAAATGTGTATGTATTAAAAGATAACCAACATTCCTTTTGTAAGTTAGCTATTATTTATGAGCTTGCAATATGACCCTGGGCCACCTCTCGCTCTCTTTCTGTTTTAAACATCTAAACTTACTATCAATTCTCCATTCCATCAAAATTTTATTATCGTTTATGGTATGAGATGAGATTTTACAGTGTTTTCTTTCTAGATTGTTAACTAATCATCCTAGAACCACTTAATGAAAACCTTTTTCCCACCACATTAATATTAGATATATCTTTTATTTTAAATCCAATTACTACAGCTAATAAAATTTCAGAGATTATGTGCTCTAATAACCTGGTTGCCTAATTTCCCCCTTCATCACACTGTTTTTAGTATTGCTCTTATAATCTAACTGCATTTGCTAGAAGGGACGGATGTGCCAAGAATTCTATTCATTAACATTATTTGCATTCTTTCTGATTAAATTTTTATTTCATCTCCAATGTACAACATTAATGTCATGAAAATCACAGGCTCTTGCGGATGCATAAATAACTACATTGCAATGAATCAAATCGTCTGGGACAATTCCTTCATAAAATGGAAGAGTGAAACGAGATCAAGGAATTTCTCTTCCACAACATTTAAGGGTAAGAACAGGTGAAAACCAGCCAAAAAGTACAATAGCATGCACCAATAAAAAGAAGATAAGGAAGCAAGACATGTGTTTCATTTTGGGATAAAAGTATGTTTTTAAACTTTAGAGTTCTAAAACAGGAAAGTTTGTCAACAGCCCATAGTGTGTAATATGGGATTCTGCATCAACTGCCAGAACAATATGTATGATTCTGGAGGATTCACTAACTTCCCTGAACCTCGATTTTCTCAAATGTAAAATAAGGTGGGAATATTCCTAGAGTTGTGAGGGTTAAACTAACCATTTTTAAACACTGGGGTATTTTCCGCAGAGTCAGGGCTTAAGTATGGGAACTATTCCCTTACCTTTTCAGATAGATCTATAGAACTCTCCCACCTCTCTCTCAGTAATCAATTGCAAAAACGTGCCAGTCTACAAAATGGGATTCTGGGAAGTGTTCTGGAGAAGACTGAATATAGTCACTCTTCACATGGAAGATACGTTTGATTTGAATATTCAATTAGGAAATGGAGGCTTGAATAAATATCTGGAAGAGAAGTTAGTCATATAAAGAACATACATCTGTCCTATTAATTTGCTCATTTGAATACCTGGCACACTTTGCCCTTCCCTCCTCCTTTTTCTGAATCACATCTTTTTATTCATATATTGCAATCCTTTCTTTACTCGTCCGGGTGTAAGTTCTCCTCATTCAGTCCTCATGCACCAGCACCACGCAGCCATAAAGCTGTTTCCTGTTCCTTTGCGGTTTCTGGCCGCCAATTTCCCTCTAAGAGTACTGAGCCACCAAGTAAAAGCAAAAATGAATGTAAACCTTAGGTTTTCTGAAACTCCTATGTAAGCGACTTTTCTTCTGAAGAGTATTTTTGGATTGAGGGAATGCCCTTGCTACAATGACGTACTTGTAGCTCAAAGGAGTTAGAAAGCAGAACCCATTTTATCCTGAGGACTATGAAAATATCTACCGAGGTAGAGTGACACCTACTGGCCAAGAAGGACAAAGGCTGGAGAGCAGGCTTCCTTCTGTTCTATGCGGAAGTCTGTCTCCTTCCATTGGCTTGTCGTTCAGAGGTAAAAACAGGTTCTTTCCTGGAAAGAACTGACCCCAATACTTACCTAAACCCACTTCCTTGGTAAGCATTTGTATCTTAGAGAGGGAAAATAAGCTTCAGGAAGAACGTGCCCTCCTTGGAACATGGGCAAACTATGCGGAGAGAGAGTCAGAATGTGCTTCTTGCCTCCAGCTTGCTCAGCTAGCCAGAGCCTCCTGAATCATCACGCCCTCTACATACTGTAGGACACTTGGAGGCTTAGAGCCTGCCGTTCTGGGTATGGAGATGCACGGGAAATCGGAGAAAATAGCTCCCATTTGGAGGTGCTCTTAAAAGTATGTTGTCAGGTTTTCAAATTCATTCCCACTGTCAAACATGTTGCTTGACGTCATAATTAGGAGAAAATTCTCAGTTACTTTGAATAATCAAATGACTCCACTAGAATCTCTTCCACTTGGACTCAAGTTTAAGGAAGAGCACACACATAAATAAAGGAATTTCAGAGAATACAAACGTAGCCAACTGACAGCCTGAGAAGTACCTATGTAGGTAGGAAGGAGAGCTATTAAAGTAATCCCATATTGTAACGGAAGAAGTTACCTAGTAAGTGTGAGTGAATTGCTTGGGTAGCACGGATGGGCTTCAGTTTACCCCGGATCTGTCAAATCTTAGGTTACAAACTCCATCTTTACACTGCTTCTGTCCAAATGCTGGGTTGGGCTGTTTTAATTTACATGTGAAACAATTTCATTCGTTTCTTCCTCCATCACTTTTGGGGGACCACACGGACATTTTCTAGATTCACCTGGTCGGGTCATTGAGATTTCCTGATGCCTTTCAAATATTATGACTCTCTCCATTCTTCGGTGGCTGTCTTGTTTAAGTTTTTATTTTTGCTTTGGTTTTTCTTTTTAACTGTAACTTTACCTATTTCTGTTGTTCTTTATATTTCGGAGTATAAAAGTTCTCTGTTTCGGTTCCGTATCACCTTGAACTGGAAATCCCTAGAGCCATACCCTGTTTGAATCCCAGAGGTGCTAACTAGTTAAACAGTCGATAGTTTGGGGACCACAGGGCTGAGGGCCTGGTGAGGTGGGTGGGCGCTGCGCCGCCTGCAGACTCTACACCGCGAAGCGCCTCGGGTCCACCTGAGACGCGGTGAGGGAGAGGCGCTGCGGGTGCTCCGGGAAGGGCTGCGGTGATCACGGGGCGGCACCCGCGGGAGGCAGCCGGAAGCATTCCAGGGTCAGGAGCCAGAGCGTGAACGTGGCCTCGTCTTGACCCTCTCCGTCAACTGTTTCCTGCGCTGCAGCGGTCAAGGCTCCCCTGAAGTCCCGCCCCGCAGAGAAACAGAAAATACGGGGAAGCCTCCCGCACGCCTACACCCAGCGAGCTCGTCTGTGCCTGCTCAGGCCTTTCACGTTCTGACTCCTTTAGGAGGAGGTGCACCAGGCGCAAGATCCTCATTTGCTCAAAAAACTCAGTGCACATCTGGAAACATGAAGTTGAAGGGCAGCAGCCGCCTGAGAACCCTGAGATCTCTGTTGCAAGAACGGAGATGTTTAAAGCGTTCGCTGGAACTGCGGCAGGAACTCAGATCAACAATAGGAATGGACACCCTTGAGCCAATTGTTTCTCCAGATCAGAGGGTGAGAAGATATATGAGGATTGAAGAGGATACTGGGAGCACAGAGTTCTCCCACAGAGACGTGGTCAACAGCAGCATCCCCAGTGTGGGCAACACGGATACCACAGCAGCCTGCAGAGTTCTGGAAGGGCGGAGGGTGACCCCAGTGCCAGCTATGAGCTTTTGTTTCAACTGGCACAAAAAAGTCTACTTCCTTATAGCTATTTAAAAGAGATTTTGTCTACCTTTTCTTCCAACTTAAAGTCTGTTCAGTTGATTCATATCACACCCCTGCTGCCCTAAACAATAGACCACCTTTGGCATTAGTAGTGGAACTCAAGAGTCTTTTATCACCTCACCCTCCCTGCTCCACTGATTTCATGTCTTGCCTCTCCGTGGTTCATACATCCCATGCCCATTTCTGTCCTTCATTTCTTTTAACAGGCCCTTTCAGACAAGGGCCTTTCACTCTTTCAAATCTCCTTAAAGTTTTGACCTTGGATCTTTGGTAATCTTTGGAATAATTAATCTCTCCGGGTTTATGTCTCTCTCCACATGGTCGTATAAATGAGAATAATCCAAATAAGGTAACTGAGAAAACTGAGTTAATACTTTCAGATTGTAGACAAATAGCTGGTCCATAGTTAACATACAATAAATTTTGCTGTTATCATTTCAAAATATCATCATTATCCAGATTGAGAAGAATCTTTTAGAAAATAATCCAATTCCCTTTCTCTTAATTTTAGATTTCACAAGGCAATCTTTTCATTGCCTGGGTGGGCTTACTAACTAGATAGAATGTTCGGCAAGGCTAACATCCACTATCCTACCAGAGCACATTAATGTTTCAGCAACTGGGGCTCTGGTTGCCAGTGTCTTGTGAGCTGGTCTGTGTGAATCCTCCCATCCTCCTTGGAGCTCATCACATGTGGGTTAAATGAAAGAGAGTGGAGTGCTGGTTTTGCACAGCTGAAGGCAGTCCCTTGACGCAAGAGTTGGTCTTCTTTCAGTCTTTGGCAGAAGCAGCCATGTTACTGATTTTGTGTGATTTAATATTGACCTTCATTCTTCCCTTCTGTCATAACCATAGACCCCAATTTTGCTGTAATAATTTTTGCTAACTTACACTTTGTCATTTTGTCAGCAGAAAAAATCACTTCTCTTCTTTTACTTTCATGACATTCAGAACTACACTTGTTTCCCTTTTGCCCACAAACAATTGTCAAGTTTTGCTTTCTAGGAAAGTTGAAATGAGAAACAAAAAAATCTGAAGTCTCAAAATGATAGAGAAAAATGTAATGGCCTCTTTGCATTTCTCTGACTTCTGTTGGTATTAACCTCAGGATGAAATAGAAAGTAAGCTGGAGGAGGGAGACAGACTATGCCCACTAAACCACTAGGTAAAAAATGTTATTAAATTTTCTTGTTGTTATTTAAATTTAAAATGAAATATCATGATTAAGTAAAGGAAAGAAAGCTGTTTCTCCCTGACATAATAACCTGGCCTCACTGCCTGGTATTCTGAGCCTGAGACAGAGATGACACACTAAGAAGCCCAATAGAAATATGCAGACTGAATGAAGAACTGATGGCCACTATTTCTGTAATAGAAGTTTCTACTGAAAGACATTATTATTGAATCCCTTGTGCCCAGCTCAGAAATTCTGAGCAGCAAGTTTTCAATAGTTTAAAAGAGTTGAACAATAAAAGCTGTACTGGCAAAGTAAAAATTATTTTCCTAATAAGGGTTAAGTGATTACAATTGGATAAGTCCTTCACCTGTGTGGACAAAACTAACTTGCTATCAGCATCTGAGGGCTATTGGCACTTTTGATATCTGTGGACATGGGTCAGGAAAGGAGGAGGTCATCCCTGAGAACCAGAGTCCTTCACACAAAAATCAGGGGCAAGGGTAACAGTAAGGCGGGGAGGTAATTGCTTTGCAAACAAAGGAACAAGCCTCTCAACAGTAGGAGAGTCTCAAGTCCTCAGGATGTGGTGAGCCTGCTCTCAGGAAGTGAGTCCAGGAGAGTCTGGGTTGAGGATCCTCTCATGCCAAAGGAAAATATTACTAGATGTGATGCAGTGAGATGGTGCTGGGAAATAAAATTATCTTGGAATTAGAATCTCCACACTTACACGTACCAGAAAAGAACCAGGATTCCTGCTGCAGGTACTGGCACAGACCGAGGAGCACTACAGGCCAGTTACAACATGGTAGAAAGAAGAGGTAACATCGGTATTAGTCCTGACCTTGTGGCCCCAGTGAAGTATAACCACATGGACCTGCAAGAATATAGTCTAGAAGGGAGAGAAACATGGGAGAAACTCGCTCACTAATAATCATGAGCCACTGCTGGGTAAATACAACACAGTTCGTGGTTCTAAAGAGCATATTTATCACACATGGTCTGGTAAGTACCTAAGAAAATATGAAACTCATAGGGCTGAAGGAACCTGTCTCCTTATGTGAAGTAATGAGGGTAAAAACTTAGTTTGGAATCCAGGCCAAATTTTGTTCCTAACAGAGAAGAACAATGTTTACATATTAAAAAATGTACGTGAGTACATGTATGTATATGGGTATTTACATATCTACATTCCCTTCAGTCTTTTGGACAAAGATGTTCCTCATTTGTTAAGTATCCATCTTGACTGGCCCATCTGAAGTTTCCTGGGAAAATTAAACTAATATTGCAAAATTAAGAGTTTAGACTGATGACATCTTCTTAGACTATAAGGAGAATACATAAATGAAAACAAAAAAAAGGAAGTACAAGTGTAGAGAAATGTTTGGAAAATGAAAATTGTTGTGTTCCCTATTTAAAAGCCATGCTTGACAGAATGTCCTCAGAAAACCTAGGGTCCCAGGCTCACCCAGACGCCCAGCTGAGGCAGGCCAGCAGCACCCTCGCCTCCCCCATGGCCCTCCTGCTCCCTCTACTGACGGCTCTGGTGGTATCCAGCTATGGCCCCGGCGGATCTCTGGGCTGTGACCTGCCTCAGGACCACGTGCTGGTTAGTAGGAAAAACTTCGTGCTTCTGGGCCGGATGAGGAGAATCTCCCCTTTCCTCTGTCTGAGGGACAGAAAAGACTTCAGGTTCCCCCAGGAGATGGTGGGTGGCAGCCAGTTCCAGGAGGCCCAGGCCATCTCTGTCCTCCACGAGATGCTCCAGCAGATCTTCAGCCTCTTCCACACAGAGCGCTCCTCTGCTGCCTGGAACACCACCCTCCTGGACCGACTCTGCACTGGACTCCATCAGCAGCTGGAAGACCTGGACACCTGTTTGGTGCAGGCGATGGGAGAGGAGAAATCTGCCCTGGGAACTGAGGGCCCTGCACTGGCTGTGAAGAGGTATTTCCGGGAAATCCACCTCTACCTGAAAGAGAAGAAATACAGTGACTGTGCCTGGGAAATTGTCAGAGGGGAAATCATGAGATCCTTCTCTTCATCCAGAAAGTTGCAAGTAAGGATGGGACTTAAGGATGGAGACGTGGGATCTGCTTAAAATGATTCTGACTAAGATGCCTATCAACCTTCCATGGATGTCATTGGGCATTTCAAAAGACTCTTATTTCTTCTTTACTAACCAAATTTATTGAATGTAATTCAGTAAATATTTTGTCAGTAGTATTAAGCATGCATATTCAGCTTCAGAGTCAGTACCTAAGAGATGACTGATGATTGCCGTGGTGCTCGCTTATTTATGTTTTATTTATTTAATCTTCCCATTCCTTCTTCCATCATATTTATAATAATTAGAAATTCTATGTATAGTGTTCATCTTTACAATGCAAAATTTATAAAACATGTTCATCTTCCCGTTATTAACTTTGCATTTTATTTATTAAATACTTATCAAAGAAAATGTCTTGAATTTTTTTATTCTAAAATCAAAATCCAAACCATTGTTTTGTAAATGATATTGAAGAATGTTTAGTAAACTTTATTCACTCATTTATTCCATCAGATTATATGTATACCTTGAGTATTTAAAAGACAAATGTGTAGTTGTGGCCAAGAAACAGAGATAAAGAAAGAAAATACAGTTCCTGCCATGTTGAAACTCAGTCTTACAAGGAAGGAGAGAAAAAAACTACTAATGTTTATCTTATTTCCACTATATTAAACACTACAAAAAGAAGTAAAGGCAAGTGATGTTCTCATACAAGAAGCTTTAGATATAAATGATGTTGGAAAGGAAAAATAATATTAGATATCCCTTCTAAAGTGTCTGGGAGACATGAAAGTGAAGGAAATCCTATTGGCAGTTGAGAACATGGGTTGAGAATTTATAATAATGCCATTGGGGAGGTAATAATTTGGTATTCCTTATCCCAAAAGGATCTCATGCACATCCAGGGAAGAGGCAAGAGAACTGATGTAGTCACTACAAACAGAGTGGACAATGAGCAGAGGACCTACACCTAGTCCCACAGATGCTCAACACTGATTGATGGGGCAGAGGAGAGTCTGCAAAGGCCTTGAGCAGAGTGGCCAGTGCCATTAGATGGCCACCTTGGAATGAATGGGGGAGACACTATTGAAAGGAAGAACATGTTTAAAAGACAGAGTGGTGCTTGCAGGGCAGGTGCGGAACTGTCCCATTGGACCTGAAAACAGACACCATTGATGACCTTAGCAGGATTTGGTTAGTAGAATCAATGAGGCAGAAATCAGATGGCAGTAGGTTGAAGAAGAAACACAAGAACAAGAATTGGTATGATGGGAATAGAAAATTTTCTTTGTGTAACCTTATTTGTTAAGTGGAGGAGTGAAATAAGGTACTTGGAAGAGAATGTGGGTTAACAGTCCCATGTATGTTAAGAACACATTAACATGTCTTCTTTGGTAAAGTGTCAGTACAAATGTATGCAAAAAATATTTGACAGAAAAAAATTTAAATAACTCCTATTTGTCGGTCCCAATTGTGTCTGAGTTGTGATGTGACTCAGGTCACAGTCCAGACAAGAGGCACATCTTAATGTTTTTACAGCAAAAAATGAGTATTTCCTATCTGGTATTCCTGGAGGATATGACGTCAGCTTCCTTGACATGCTGGGGGATTTGACTAACTCCAGTGAGCCCACACCATGCTGTCTTCCCTGAAATGTCTCTGCAGCATGTGCATGTGGAAAACCAGGATGTTTGGGATGAGACCTTCTTGGAGAGATTCCACACTGGATCTAGTAGCTGGAACAACTGGAGATCTATTTGGGAAGAGATATTTAGAAGCAAACTTGCTAAAAGTGAGGATTCAAGACTGGCTGTGCAGTTACTTTCAAGGAATATGCCTCTTCTTAAAGGAAGGATACAGACCCTGGGTTTAAGAAATTGTCACAGTGGAAATCAGCAGGTGCTTTCTCTTCATTAACAAACTTGTAGAAAAATTAAGAAAAAAAGAACTAGGCTCACACAACAGTGACAAAATAATTCTTATGAAGTCCAGGTATTCGTACATTTTAGAAGTTGCCTTATCAACTGAAAACTGAAGCCTGTAATCGGCAATGGTGATCTTAAAAGCAGAGAAATCTGAGTTATGCTCAGTGATCACCCTGACAGGTTTAAATTTGTTTTTACATGTTCATTTTGTGCATGGAATATATATTTTATAGAACAAGATACTCTCATTACAATATCTAGTAATTTTATATGCAAAAATACATGCAATTTCTCAAAATTATGTGTTCATGTGTTCAATTTTTATCTAAATCAGTGCAAACAAACTGCAGCAGAGGAGATGTTTTTTCATTATCCCACTGGAAACAGGGAATACCTGTATTCCTGGAAACAGACAGATTCTGAGGTTGAATCTCAGTGACTTGCTCTGGTAATAAATTAAGATACCTTTTAATGCATTATTTTAATTTATAAATTTACATTATTAAAAGTTAAAATATAAAGTATAATGTAAAACCTCTTCCAGTCTTTCATCCTTCTTTAGTATCTCCTCCCCAAAGTGCACGTTATTATTGTGATTTATTTCTTATATATGCTTTATTTATTTAGACACAGGTTAGGTCAAATATAAAATTCGTTTCACATTTTCATCTCAAATACAGCATTTTATATCCACTGTTCTGCATCTTGTCTGTTTTTTAACTTCTTTTTTTTTCATTATTGGCAGAGCACCCTCATTTTCTTCTCCAGTGGGATAGCATTCCTTTGTGTGAATATACATTAAGTATCTCTTAATTAGAGGGATTTGAGTGGTTCTCTTTTTTTTGATATTATAAATAATGCTGCAAGGAACAATATTTTAAGTCCTTACACACATGCACAAGTATTCTTAGAGGATACACTTCAGGCCTAGAATAGATGGATCAAAGACTACATGCATCTATAACATTAAAAAATATCACCAGATTGCCTCCTCTGTGATTGTACCAATTTCCAGTGCTCTAGTAAATTACAAAAGCAGTTTCCCCTCAAAAGTCTCCACAACAGTGATTTAAATCAAACTTTGGGGTTTCATCTATCTGATAGGTTATAAATAGCATGCTATTTACTTTTAATTTGTTTTTCATCATTATGAGAAAGGTTGAACACCTTTTCATGTATTTTTTTTCCTCTGAAAAGTGCTTATTCATGCCTTTCAGTTGTGCCACCTATAATGACATTTTCAAATCTTGCAGTGCAAATTATTCCTAGTATTCCTCACTGTTTCTTTCAATTTTTGGCCATTGAAGTAATCATTGGAATGGATATTCTATGTTAACAAAAGTCATTTTACAGGGAAGATATATTTCATTATATCTACCTGGCCAATTTTTATGAAAATATACTCATCTGAAGAACCAGTTATGAAATAATAATGAAACTATTTCAACTCATAAAAATTTAAGATATATATATATACACAAAACCAAAACAACACTACTGTTTTATGGCAAAAAGAAATGATAATATCTGGAGAAGTTCTCTCTCCCATCCACCTACCCTATGCTTTTAAAGCCTGCAGTTGGCTCCTGCTCCACGTGGTTCCAGGATCCACTCCTCGTTTGCTCAGCTTTCCTGTGAGTTGGAACACAAAGGACAGACACTGTCTACTCGGACAATGGTCCAGGCACAGCTGCTGTATTCCTGGTTTTCCAGATAATCATGGATCCATTAGAAGTACATTTTAACCTGTAATCTAAGGTTTTCACTACCCAATGTGCCACCTTTTTGCTCTGCTTCCAGTCCCATGAAAGCTTCTAAGTATACCAGCTGTGGATGAAGTTCGTTGATTAAGTTTTCCACATGGCTTTCTCCCCAGCTGTCCAAAGGCATACTTGTCCTGAACAGGTTGAGGATCTGCTGAAGCATCTCAAGAAGATGGTTATTGTGTGTCCTTTCTGGTACTAGTGAGGATTCAGGAAAGATACAGGAGGATCCTGGTATTGGTGGGGAAGCAGGAAGATTTTCCTGTGCGATAGGCACTGCTGAATTGATGGGGTTTTCAGTTTATTCAAGAGTTTTAAACTCTCTCTGTTCACTCTTTGTTGGAAGAGAACCAGTTTCAGTTCCAGGGAGAAGACAGTGGTAGAGGCCAGCAGCACCAAGACAATTTCAAAGAAAGGCTTGTTAATCATGGTGAAGGTTAAATATGCCACTTATCTCTGCTCAGTCTCAGTAGAGCTCTAGCTCCAGTGAATGTTCCCCTTTCATGCACTTCAGATTATTCAGATTATTATTTCAGAACAGGAAGGTGTTCTCTTTTTTTGATTTTGTTTTCTAATGCTGTCATTTTCCCAACTTTACACATTAGGTTTTTTTGATTCCCTTTTCCTAGTGTTCATGGGACATTTCCTCCACTTTCCCCATTGTGTTGGCTGTTTGTGGAAGTGACCAAAAGAACTTGTTTCATTGTATGTGTTCCTTGAGATAATTACAGACTAGTCATCCAATATGATTTTCTATTACTCTCATTATTACATATTAAGTACCAACACAATATGCTTTCTAAATATATAGCTAAGCTTCTTAAAAGTTGTCTTGAGTTATTTTTATTATTTTCTTTATTAAGGTATTATTGATATACACTCTTATGAAGGTTTCACATGAAAAAACAATGTGGTTACTACTTTCACCCATATTATCAAGTCCCCCCCATACTCCATTGCAGTCACTGTCCATCAGTGCAGTAAGATGCCACAGTCACTACTTGTCTTCTCTGTGCTACACTGTCTTCCCCGTGATCTCCCCAGCACCATGTGTGCCAATCATAATACCCTTCAATCCTCTTCTCCCTTCCTCCCCAACTGCCCTCCCAGACCCCTTCCCTTTGGTAACTGCTTAGTCCCTTCTTGGAGTGTGTGAGTCTGCTGGTGTTTTGATCCTTCAGTTTTGCTTTGCTGTTATACTCTGCAAATGAGGAAAATAACTTGGTACTTGTCTTTCTCCACCTGGCTTATTTCACTGAGCATAATATCTTTCAGCTCTATCTATGTTGTTGCAAATGGTAGGAGTGGTTTCTTTTTTATGGGTGAATAGCATTCCATTGTGTATATGTACCACCTCTTCTTTATCCCCCCGTTACTGATGGGCACTTAGGTTGCTTCCATATCTTGGCTATTGTAAACAGTGCTGCAATAAACATAGGGGTGCACATATCTTTTTGAATCTGAGAAGTTGTTTTCTTTGGGTAAATTCCTTAGAGTGGAATTCCTGGGTCAAATTGTATTTCTACTTTTAGTTTTTTGAGGAACCTCCATATTCTTTCCACAGTGAGTGAACTAAGTTTACATTCCCACCACCAGTGTAGAAGGATTCCCCTTTCTCAGCATCCTTGCCAGCATTTGTTGTTCTTAGGCTTTTCTATGCTGGCCATCCTAACTGATGTGAGGTGATATATCTCATTGTGGTTTTAATTTGCATTTCCCTGATAGTAATGTGGAGCACCTTTTCATGTGCCTATTGGCCATATGAATTTCTTCTTTGGAGAATTGTCTGTTCCTATCCTCCACCCATTTTTTTAATTGGGTTATTTGCTTTTTGGTTGTTGAGGTGTGTGAGTTCTTTATATATTTTGGATGCTAACCTCTTGTCAGATATGTCATTTACAAATACATTCTCCCATATTGTAGGATGACTTTTTGTTCTGTTGATGGTGTCCTTTGCTGTACAGAAGTTTTTTAATTTGATGTAATCCCATGTGTTCATTTTTGCTTTTGTTTCCCTTGCTTGAGGAGATGTGTTCAAGAAAAAGTTGCTCATATTTATATTCAGGAGATTCTTGCCTATGTTTTTTCTAAGAATTTACATTCAGGTCTTTGATCCATTTCGAGTTTACTTTTGTGTATGGGGTTAGACTATAATCTAGTTTCATTATCTTGCATGTAGCTGTCCAGTTTTGCCAACACCAGTCGTTGAAGAGGTTGTTATTTCCCCATTGTATATCCATGGCTCCTTTATCATATATTAATTGACCATATATGCTTGGGTTTATATCTGGGCTCTCTAGTCTGTTCCATTGGTCTATGGGTCTGTTCTTGTGCCAGTACCAATTTGTCTTGATTACTGTGGCTTTGTAAAGTCAGGGAGTGTAATCCCCGGAGCTTTATTCTTCCTTTTCAGGATTGCTTTGGCTATTCGGGGTCTTTTGTGGTTCCATATGAATTTTAGAACTATTTGCTCTAGTTTGCTCTGTTGGTATTTTGATAGGGATTGCAATGAGTCTGTAGATTGCTTTAGGCAGGATGGTTATTTTGACAATATTAATTCTTCCTATCCATGAGCACAGGATGTGTTTTCATTTATTGGTATCTAATTTCTGTCATGAGTGTCTTGTAGTTTTCAGAGTATAGGTCTTTCACTCCCTTGGTTACATATATTCCTAGCTATTTTATTCTTTTTGATGCAATTGTGAATGGAATTGTTTTCCTGATTTCTCTTTCTGTTAGTTTGTCATTAGTGTATAGGAATGCAACAGATTTCTGGCAACTTTGCTGAATTCAGATATTAGATCTAATAGTTTTGGAGTGGATTCTTTAGGGATTTTTATGTACAATATCATGTCATCTGCAAACAGTGACAGTTTAACTTATTCTTTACAAATCTGGATGACTTTTATTTCTTTGTTTTCTCTGATTGCCATGGCAGGGACCTCCAGAACTATGTTGAATAAAAGTGTAGAGAGTGGGCATCCTTGTCTTGTTCCTAATCTTAAAGGAAAGGCTTTTAGCTTCTCGCTGTTGAGTATCATGTTGGCTGTGGGTTTGTCATATATGGCCTTTATTATGTTGAGGTACTTGCCCTCTATACTCATTTTTTGAGAGTTTTTATCATGAAACGATGTTGAATTTTGTTGAATGCTTTTTCAGCGTCTATGGAAATGATCATGTGGTTTTTGTCCTTCTTTTTGTTGATGTGGTGGATGATGTTGATGGATTTTCTAATATTGTACCATCCTTGCATCCCTGGAATAAATCCTACTTGATCATGATGAATGATCTTTTTGATGTATTTTTGAATTCGGTTTGCTAATATTTTGTTGAGTATTTTTGTATCTATGTTCATCAGGGATATTGGTCTGTAATTTTCTTTTTTTGTGGTGTCTTTGCCTGGTTTTTGTATTAGAGTGATGCTGGCCTCGTAGAATGAGTTTGGAAGTATTCCCTCTTCTACATTTTGGAAAACTTTAAGGAGGATGGGTATTACATCTTCATTAAATGTTCAGCAGTGAAGCCATCTGGTTCAGGTGTTTTGTTCTTAGGTAGTTTTTTGATTACCAATTCAATTTCATTGCTGGTAATTGGTCTGTTCAGATTTTCTATTTCTTCCTGGGTCAGCCTTGGAAGGTTGTATTTTTCTAGAAAGTTGTCCATTTCTTCTAAGTTATCCAGTTTGTCAGCATATAATTTTTCATAGTATTCTCTCATAATTCTTTGTATTTTTGTGGTGTCAGTAGTGATTTTTCCTTTCTGATTTCTGATTCTGTTTATGTGTGTAGACTCTCTTTTTTTCTTGATAAGTCTAGCTAGGGGTTTATCTATTTTGTTTATTTTCTTGAAGAACCAGCTCCTGCTTTCATTGATTCTTTCTGTTGTTTTATTCTTCTCGGTTTTATTTATCTCTGTGGTAATCTTTATTATGTCCCTTCTTCTATTGACTTTGTGCCATATTTATTATTCTTTTTCTATTTTCATTAATTGTGATTTTTAGACTGTTCATATGGGATTGTTCTTTCCTGAGGTAGGCCTGTATTGCAATATGCTTTCCTCTTAGCATGGCCTTTGCTGCATCCCACAGATTTCTGCATTGTTGAATTATTGTTGTCATTTGTCTGCACATATTGCTTGGTCTCTGTTTTTATTTGTTCATTGATCCATTGGTTATTTAGGAGCATATCCTCCATGTGTTTGTGTGCTTTTTTTGTTTTCTTTGTGTAATTTATATCTAGTTTCATATCTTTGTGGTCTGAGAAGCTGGTTGGGACAATTTCAATCTTTTTGAATCTACTGAGGCTCTTTTTGTGGCCCAGTGTATGATCTATTCTTGAAAATGTTCCATGTGAGCTTGAGAAGAATGTGTATCCTTCCGCTTTTGGATGTAGAGTTCTGTAGATGTCTGTTAGGTCTAGCTGTTCTAATGTGTTGTTCAATGCCTTTGTCTCCTTACTTATTTTCTGCCTGGTTGATCTGTTCTTTGGAGTGAGTGGAATGTTGAAGTCTCCTAGAATGAAAGCATTGCATTCTGTCTCCCCTTTTAATTCTGTTAGTATTTGTTTCACATATGTAGGTGTTCCTGTGTTGGGTGCATAGATATTTATAATGGTTATATCCTCTTGTTGGATTGACCCCTTTATCATTATGTAATGTCCTTGTCTCTTGTGACTTTCTTTATTTTGAAGTCTATTTTGTCTGATACAAGTATTGCAACTCCTGCTTTTTTCTCCCTATTATTTGCATGAAATATCTTTTTCCATCCCTTCACTTTTAGTCTGTGTATGTCTGTGGATTTAAAGTGAGTCTCTTGTAGGCAGTGTATAGATGGGTCTTGCTTTTTTATCTATTCAGTTACTCTATGTCTTTTGATTGGGGCATTGAGACCATTTAAAGTGATTTTCAATAGGTATATACATATTGCCATTGCAGGCTTTAGATCTGTGGTTGCCAAAGGTTCAAGGGTAACTTCCTTAGTATCTAAGAGTCTAACTTAACTCACTTAGTATGCTATTACAAACACAATCTAAAGGTTCTCTTTTTTTTCTTTTTCTTCTTCCTCCATTCTTTACATATTAGGTATCATATTCTGTACTCTTTGTCTATCCCTTGATTGACTTTTGGGGTTGTTTATTTAATTTTGCATTTGCTTAGTAATTAATTGTTCTTTCTTTACTGTGGTTTTATTTTCTCTGGTGTAAGCTATTTAGCCTTAGGAACACTTCCATCCATAGCAGTCCCTCTAAAATACACTGTATAGATGGTTTGTGGGAGGTAAATTCCCTCAGCTTTTACTTATCTGGAAATTGTTTAATCCCTCCTTCAAATTTAAATAATAATCTTGCTGGGTAGAGTATCCTTGGTTCGAGGTCCTTCTGCATCATTGCATTAAATATATCATGCCATTCCCTTCTTGCTTGTAAGGTTTC